AAGGAAAAAAATAGTAAAATTTGGAAATTTAAACGAATTTATTGTTATTTGAAGGTAATGTGACATACCTGGGCGTTTTTGTTTGGTTCCAAGCGCAGAAGACATCCAACTTGCTGACTACGCATATGCACAATACCTGCACAAACAAAATTATCCGGATTGGGGTCAATTCCGTCCAAGAGCGCCATGCCATAGCCCAACATTTTGGTGCGAGCGGCTGCTAAGTCCATCACGCCACTCGCTTTGAATATCTTTTGAGATCTTTGTTGATTTCCGCTGTAAAAAAGTAATAAAACAATAAATAAAATGCAAATTTTCGTTTAGTTTTATTTTTTACCTTCCAAGATTTTTCCACCTCGCAAAGAACGACTCGCCGTTCATTTCCGTCGGCTCGAAGAACTTATTCAGGAAGAGCGGAAGCTTCAGGGTTATCTTCTGCGGCATGTTGTTGTACGTGAATGAAATAGCCATACTTGGTACATCTAAACACAAAATCATAAATAAAATACCAACATAACCTCAATTCAACGCTTCTAATGATAAAATTTACCTGTATAATCGTCAATGCATTCCGCATTTAGCATCTGTTGGATTTGTGCGCCTGCTTCCAGCGTAGGTTCGACTGATCTGAGCTGTATGCTCAACTTGGCGTTCTGCTCTTCGCTCCAGATTAAACTCGGCACGAAGTTCTGCAGTGCCGCCGATGTTTTATTACCGTAGAATAATCCCAAACGTCCCAGATTGTGCCTAAACTCGCTCTTGACGCCGATTTGAATGAGGTCATTCTCAAAGAGGACGCCATTATTCTTGCACACAAACTTCTTGTGATTATACAAGTTATTCGCGCCTGACGCATTATTCGTCTTGTTACCACTGTAGATATCACCCAAAACATCCAAAAGGACACCGGTATTTCCAGGTTGAGAGGTTGGAGGTGTAGAAAGACCCAATAAATCCGCAGATGCTGAATTACTACAAAAATATTCATTAAATTAATAACTTTGTAACAAAATAAAATTATGAGAGTTTAAAAACTTACTTTGCATTGTTAACTTCATTCGAATGATTCGCCGTGGCTGGAGTAGGACTTTTGCTCTCCTTAATATCATTCTCCGGAACACGTCCAGGTTTCTTCTTCTTGAGCACCGCAAGAATCGAGCTTTCTCTCTCGGGGAAAGCAGGCATTTCCTCCAAAACGGTGGCTAAGACATCAGAACTGGCAATGATACTCAATTGAAGATATTCGGACGCACGCTGTTGTAATTCAGCGTCCGCCGATCGCAGATTACTGTGCTGCTTGAATACCTCCTGCACCTGCGTACGAATCTCCGGAAACAGATTGATAAATTTAATATAAGTAGACAACAAGAGCGCGCGCGTCATCGGCGAACACAGGTGATACTTCGAGTGCAGTAGCTGGAACTGCACGGACGGGGACGATCGATGATCGCCCGCAATCAAGTTGCCGAACTCGCCGAGAATATATCCGCCTACTTTAACCATGTTTTCATGACATGCGGGGGCTTGCAACGCTTCGAAAACAGTTTTCGCTGCGTAGCCTTGTACTTCATCCCGATTAATGACGATCTGGATGACTCTGTACCACACTTCTTCGCTGACATAATCACCAGCAATACGGATGAGATTGAGAATGACGTCCACGTACCATGTGTAATCCGTCGCGTATTTCTCAGCCAAAATGGCGACCTTTAGAACCATCTCTTCACGAATCGAATAATCTGCTGTTTCCAAATAGTTCAACATTTCCTGAACTATTTCCTCAGCGTTACTCTTGTCACACATGGCGTAGAGTAAATCAACGGCCTGTTGACGTACGGAAACATCTTTTTCCATTTTCATGGAAAGTATCACCACTTCCTGGTGCTTCTTGACGGCCTCATGCGAAAATTCCGATGTGGCCAAGTGGCACATGGATTCCAACGCGAGATAACGCAAGTTGGTTTCGCGGTTGCTCAGGAATTGGCCCAGTTGATTGCATGCTCTAACTAATAACCCGGGTTCACTGTCGTTGTGTATAATAAGACTGATGGCTTCGAAGAGGACGGCATTCTTGGCGTTCGAGTGCTGCACCTTCTTCGATTTTGGAGGTTCTTGAGCTTTGTTCAGTATCGTCTCGAGGCATTCGTTCAACCTGCCTCGTACGCCTGGATCTTCAGCTAAATTAAATACAAAAAACATTAAAATCTCATAAATAGAATTAATTTTTATTATATATTACCTGGAGGAGTGTAGTTTTGCAATAACCGCAACAATTTGACAGATAACCATGGTGCTGGCACGAAATAGTAAGTATAATCCTGTAGATCTGTGTAGTTTGCTGTTACAATTCGACTGAGGCGTGACACAGCCAATGACACACACCCCTTGTACTCTTCCGGATTCTTCTTAACCAGGGCGTCGATAAGACTGGTGGCAGCCGTGACGACGCCCATGTGCTGGTCGTTGAGTAAATGGATAATACGCGATGTCCACTCACCACCGGGGATGATTTCCTGCGAGGTGCGGAACAGACGCAGCAGGCATAATGCAGCGCTCTGTTTTACCACATCCATCGTATCGCCGGATACCAGTAGTTTTGGAATTTCAATGGCGAACGCTTCCGCCATTTCGCGACTACCGATATTAGCGATGCACTGCAGCGCAAGGTTGACATGGATTGGGTTGCGCGACGCCAGGTCATTCTTAATACTTTGTATAATCAGCTTGATGAGTTCACTATTTGTGTTGACTAGCACTGATATAAACAGATAACCCTGTAAAATATTAAATAATTTTAATATTGCTTTGATTTTTGGTTAAATTTTAAGAAGATTTTAACTTACAATTTGTTTTTCGGAATATTTATTGGAAGATAGCAGGTTGACGGCTTCCATGTGTCCAAAATCAATGTCATGCCCCAGCAAGAAGATGAAAAGCAGCTTGCAGACATATTTCTTCTTCTGATACCCATCCAGAGTCTTGTCTCCTTTAAACTTGCCACGGATGTTGGCAAGTTCTTTATTGATGCGCTTGATCTCAGCCTCCTTACTCTTGCCTGCAAATTCAATTCATTAGCCAAGTGAGCAATAATAATCTATTGGGAGGTATATACAATTCCTGATGTCTGAGATGAACACAGCCAAGCCGCGCATTCCATCGCCACGTACCGCTGGCATCTTGATGTCCTGCCAGTACTTCCTCAGCACTCACACCCCTGCAACATGAAAATAGCATCAACAATTTGACCTCATTTACGAATGCAACCCCCGCGTTCATCTTTGACCTTTTCGGCGTTTTGCGCGTTCGAATCGCGAGAGAAACGCGAGATTGTGGCTTGACCCTCCCCCTAAACACTATCAGCGGTGTATCGTGAGCGCAGCGATGATCCGCATAATGTTACGTTTGAGTTTTTACTGAGTTTCGCCTGGGTAGCTTACCTGAATGACTCCGGTCTCCGGTCTGTGATCGGCGGGCGGGCGGCGCACGCTGGAAAACGAAGAGGTGGTGTCCGGCGGCGGCGCTCGCACTTGGCGGACGCAGGCAGAACGCAGAACTTGGACTATGGATGACAGCGGCTGAGAGACGGCAACGCGAAACGATTGCAAAGCTCGAAAAACCTAAACGAATCCGAGCGAGCCGATCGCTGCCGGTGGAGGTGTCATGTCACTAGTCGGCAATGCAGGCAACATCACCAATCTGACGCATACATATGTAAGCAGCTAGTGAAGGTAGCACACAAACTGTTGTATTCTTCCTATCTCTACAGAGAGATGACAAAAATGCAAGAATAAATTCATTAAAAACAATTAAAAATACATTATTTCAACAATATTTAAGCCAAATAATAATATAGTTGTTGTTTTTTTTTCTGTTAAAACTATTAAAATTGATTATTTTTGCTTTTTATTGAACAAACTGAACTAAATTCAATTGAAAAAATAATTAGGACACCTCAAAATGTTCGCAAAAGTTCTTAAAACATATTAAAATCATAAATTACTCTAAATTTTATCAATTTGTGTATTTTCTTGTTTTTATTTTATGAAAATTAAAAACATAAGTTGTTTTGATGATGTCATTGGCCGCCATGTTATTTTTTCCTGTCAAATTCCAATTTTCATGTTTAAATTTAATTTTCACCACAAAAATCAAGATAAAAGGCAAAAAAAAAACTTAAAAATTTATATTAATCATGTTTCTGTATTTGTTTGCAACCAACTTTGCACCCACATATAAATCCTTTGCACATTTGACTCTAATTCAGCAGCATTTGTGCTTTGCAGCTCATGCACAATTTCTTCAGCATAAGAACTTCTAGCTTCCTCTAGGATTGTCTGAAATATCTCACATTGGATATTATCTTCTAATTTTTTACCAGAATATCCCCTTAAATAGAATTATTTAACAATTTTTTTCAATCCAAAACCTTAATTTGAAAATATAGACATACCTTGCTGTTAATCTGTCAAATAATGTGGTGTTATCAACTCTTAGGACAAAAACAATGTCAAACCATCTCTCAGGGAAGAATTCACATGAATGATAGTCAACAATATTGCCTCCAAGACTCATAGATTCTTCTAAACCATCCATTAACTATAAAAATCACATAAATAAACATTAAATCTCAAATAAAAACCTAAATACAATTAAAATTTACTTTATCTTCATCCAAAATAGGACAATTATACTCTTGGTCAAATTCTTCAAGACAATTATTCTCCACAGCAACTTTCGAGACATCAATCCATCTCATACCTGTGATTTCAGCTAATTTAACGCATAACAACGACTTGCCAACACCAGGCGTGCCTGTTACCAAGATATTCGGTTTATTTCTTTTAATATTTTGCATCTTGCTTATCAATTCATTAATTATATCTTACCAAAACAACCAAAAACAAATGCAACTAATGCTAGCATGTATTGCATCCAAAACACATGATATTTAAGAGGTTAGGAACACATCACAATACAGGATGTCCCAAACAAACCCGTAGTTGTTTCTAATCAATTAATTATCTGTTTATTACACATAGAGCATCTGAAGCACAACGATTATGTACATATTCATACAATTTCAACTAAAACTAACTAAACGTGTAATTTTTAATCTGTTAGTGTACAATTTAAGTATTTTAGCTATCTGCAACTAAGCAGCGCTAGTTTTTACATTGTTACATTGTTACTCTTGTTACTGATCCCCATCAATATTGACTGTTAATTATCATAAGCGGCATGAGCCTCAATATAGGTGTAAACGACTGAAAGATAAATTCATTGTCACAAGATTGCATTTCCCGAATGCGTTACATTTTAAAAAATAGCGAATTACTTTCCACTAGTTTCCTAACCTCATTTCATGGCCTAGTAGAGTGAGTTCTAGGTTAAATCAGACAGCTTTACGTAGGATTTATCAGTATAGTACATAGTTCTCGTTAAATTTCTTTGATTTTTACTTAGATTTACTTATAACATGCTTCTGCAATAGATTCAATAGATTAATCTGTGTCTAAATATCTAATAACTTATGTTAGATGATTTCTATGCTTTTTGTTGTACATTTCTTGTACTTGTACTTGTTATAATTCACAGCACAAAATTATACGAGCAAAGTTTAACTTTTTTAACTTTTCTGGTTGTAAAACAATGGAGGGAGGGAATGATATTCATCTTATAACCTCAAAATACTGCTTTTTCTAGTTTGTGTTGCATACATGTGCGTGTCTTGGCACACATTCATAGGTTATGTTTTTTCCTAACCCCTAGAGGCCTACACACATATTCCTCACGCATTCTATGATTATTGCTCTAAGATTCGATTCAAGCTTATCAACTTATCATCTGCGTGTCGTGTCTTCTCAGTGGTGATTTGATTGATAAATAATTGTACAATATACTGTACAATATACTGTTGTAGTTATTTATTTGTATTGGGTGTGTGGTTGTGTGTATATTGACAAAAAGTATGCGCGATAGTCGTGCGCCCGCGTTAGAAAATGTCCTCTTCGTCCTGATATTGCCTGTCCCAATAACCTCCGGTGTAGATCCAGTCGTCCTGCTTGGTTGCCGGATTGACAGCTTGTTGGAACCAACGCGATGCATAATCAGTGTTCTTCTTGCTCTTGCGGCATTTGCTAGCGTCGCGTTGTTTTTCTTCCAGGCGCGTTTTTTCAATCGCAGCGCCATCTATGTCGCCTTGTTCTAGTTTACGGATATCCGGTCGGAAGCGAGAGTCTGTCTTGCAGAGGTAATCAGTCATTCCTGGCTCCAGCTCGTTTAGAGACATTGCAAAGTCCGTGAATTGATAATACTAATTGAAAGTTATATTAGGTTATGTTTTTAGTGTTATATTAGTGATTTACTTACATCAGCACTTTGTATTGGCCTTGGATTAACTCTCCAGATCTCAATTGAGTTGGGCACGTCAAAAGAATATGTTGAGTTGCTTTTGGGGATGTCACCATCACCTATATCTGGTGGGTTTGCTTCGTCAATACTCTAAAAACAGAAATTAACAGAATCAAAAAGGAAAATTGCGATTTACGCCCTCTGCCGGTCTACGTTCATACTACACTCATGCTCAATTGGTTGCCTACAATACATCTCAAACCCTACAAATTTTAATACTAAATTTAATAATTTACCTCTTGTTGTACGGAGTTGGATTTAAACGGTCCTACTTTAAGACTGTTGAACCTCTGCATAACCCTGCGTGGTGCATGCGAGGGTGAATCATTAGGACTCTTGCTTCGTGCTCCCTCACAACCCTTTCTATCTTTCGCGGTGTATTCTTCGTAGGAAGCGTAGTCGACGCATTTGATGAAATCCGTCCATTTGCCGTAGAGGAAGTGTAATTTGCGTTTGTTACGATCGCTGATAAAGCCTTCAACATGATGCAGGTCCTTGGAGTTGTTACCGGCCGGCTTGAAAGTGAGGTTAGCGCGGTGTCCGGTAGAGTGATTTATGATCTCCATGTTGCCATATTGTTCCATCCAGAGTTTACCGACGATGATGTTATGTACACAGCAGAGGACATTCGTCCACGTGTAGGATTCATTCAATCTGAAGCATTAATGTAAGTTATGTAGGTAATGTAGGTGCCTGTAATGGCTTTTTATGTTTTTTTATTTATTACTCCGAAACTAATGCAGTTGGAGTGGTGGTTCTTTCACTAATGTATTTATTATTAAATTCTGCACATAATTCAATCAAGAATTTATTAAATTTGTTGTTTAATAGCCGTTAATTGAGTAATTAAAGTGGTTTAGGTCAAAATTAATTGTATTAACCTATTTTCCTGCATAACTATTGAATTATTATTGTTTTTATTACATTTAAAGTTTATTTACACTCAGAATTTAAACCACAATAGATTCCCGTTTGAATTTTCCTTCTATCTCATCAAATTTCCACGTAATTAACAAAAAACCCAGCGATAATTTCCTTCACACAGAATTCCAACCTTTATCTTGTATATACACTACCAACTAATCTAATATAGATGAAAGATGAGATGTGAAACATGAAGCTATTTCATGAGCACGTTGTCATGAATAATTCAAGCCGCGTTTCATCTCCGCATCTACCACAACATATATAGTTTAATAACTAAACGATGAAATATCGATTTTCAACGTGTACCAACATACAGATTTCTACATTCACATTAAACACAGAAAAACAGAAAAACTTACTTAGGAAATTCTACGGTGACAGTGCCCTTCGGAGAAATCTCCACACTCTTGCCCCAGAACTTCAGTTTGGGGTGGATTGATCCATGGAAGACCCAATCGGCGCTTTCGGCGTGAAAGGCGGACACTGGCGGATGATGGCTGACCTGCTCGCAGATGATCTTGAATTCCGGGCGTTCTAGTTCATAGGTTTCGCCCAGGAGTGGGTTGAACGGTTTGCCGAGGCGCTCCCAGTTAGCTGCGAGGGCACTGACAGCAAAACCTGAAAAGAATTGAATAATTGTTAGTATTTTTAACCAATTTCAACATTTTTAGCTGTCAGATAACCTAATCTAATCTAGAAAGTAAATTTTTAACTTTCATGCATTATTTTACACCCTGTAGGTTATATTTTGTAATAAAAAGTAGCCTAGGTGTTTCTCCCTACTTAGAACTATCTATATGCCAAATTTTATCAAAATTTGTTGATTGGTTCTTGCATAAAATCATCAAAAACAAACTTAAATATGCATTTCTAACATCAGTTAGAATACATGTGAGTAGCAGCGCCATCTACGTTGAATTTCAACAACTAACCTATTCAACTAAATGTAGACTACTTTATATACATTACCTGCAACATATTGCATGCGTGCAACTGGATCCTCCTGCTGTGCCGCCAATCTCAGCAAATACGCATACTCCATGTACTCAGCCATGCGTTGAAGGAAGCTCAAGGGTTCATTGAAAACAACTGGCATGGTGATCTTGCTCAACTCCTTGCCGATGCAATTCTTCAAAACGGACCAGATGTTGAAGTCGCTGTGGTACATAGGTACGGGCAGAACTTGTCTACAACACCAAACATAACCTCAATTTTCCCCCTCTATCAACAACCTCCCCTATGTTAAAAAACAAAACCAATGATCATGACATGACGAATGAAATGTTGTTAATGATCCTCTATGATGAATTCCATCACACATCAACACAGGTCAAGAGTAAGCAGAGAGTGTGAACAGGGTGAAGATGGCCTACCTGTAGATGTGGTCCTTGTGTTCAGCGGCCATCGCGAGTCGGTTGCGTGCGCACCTTCAAATATCACACCTAATACACACATTCGTCCTTCCGGCGGCGCGGGAGTGGCGGCTTCACACACCGGACATCTTCTGGAATTTACACAAAGACACGACACGTCAACACAACCACCGTGGCGAAGACTCACAGCACAAGACAAGAAGAAAATGGCGGAGAAGCAAAATACATATTATTACTTAATATCACTACAATTTACTTTGAGGTTAGATATTTTGCTGAGTGGTGCAGTGCGAATGTGTGACAATCGAAATGGACGAGGTGCTGCGTGAAGTGAAGCGAAAAAGTGAACAAACTGAACAAACGAACAACGTGTGCATGTGTCAGAATGTTTAGAGTGTTGTATATCATATTAGTTGAAGTTTACTGTAGTGATTAGTGTCAATTTACATGATTTCACTTTATAAACTATATTACAGATACCTACAACTGTAAATTTTGAGGTTAGGTTAGTGACATTAGTAATATAAGTTGTCTACAATCGATATCCACGTAAACTGATAAATGAATCAAGTCTACGATGTGTAATCATGGAATATAAGTAAAAAGCAAGTCGTAAAAACGGATTACCATCGATTTTACACCGCGTCGCGACGCCCTCAACCATTTTGTGGACTTATTGTGTCTGCGTAAATATTAACTAAATAAGCACGACAAGATGGCGTGTCAATATTTGATTTTCGGTTCATAGGCACACAACATGACATAAAACATGCACACCTAACCTTTAAATTTCATTCCTAACCTGATAATGTGTAAAAATGTCAAAATTAATCGATTTTTGACTTTGTTTGTTTTGTGTGTGGGTCTTTTTAGGGTGTGCAACACGTATTGAGTTTTGTTTCATATACAGTGTGTTTATATATTATATTTTACACCGGATGTTTTTTTCTTCTTGGTGTTTAATGGTGGTCACGTACGGATGTATTTCAATTGTAATTGAATGTTGTATTGTTTTGTTTTATTTTGTGGTTATGTGTTTTGATTTGTTTTGTGATTGTGTTTTGGGTGGTGCTAAAATAAGCTGAGAATTCATGCACGGCTTGCACATACCTTTTGTTTTCGATCGCGCGTACCGTGCGTCGATCGATCGGCAACCACCCTCTGGCACAGCTCCCGAACACCTACTGGCCGGTGCCTGCTACTGCCGCCAACGCCGCCCCCGATATGCAAGTATTGCGCCGGCGCACTGATGAAATCGCGTTCACCTACTCCCAGAGTGTCAGAGAGTCACAGTCAGCAGACGAGTGAGTAGAAAGGGTAATATTACAATTATACAATGTGTCCAGTAATCATTATAATAATTTATAAAATATTAATATTTTATAATAAGCTGTTTAATTTATTTAATTTGTGGATTGTTTAGGTATTGTGTTTTTTTTTTCATTGGGTAACACCCTGTATATTTCTTAGTTTGTAGACCCGGACAGTAATTCGATTGTGAAGAAGGCGGGCTGCGCTCTGCTTATTAATTAATCTATTTACCAAGTGTAATTTATTGACGCGCTGTGTTGAGAACATTGTGAAAACACGTTGAATCGGGTTAAATACAAAGATTGGTTCATTTAACAAATTTTCTCCTTCATTAGCAAATTAAAAAAAATTAGTTTTGGTATTTTAATTCATTTTAGTATTAAAAGAACACAAAATATTTTGTTTCCGTTCGAAAACTGAATTATTTTATAAATTAAATTATATCCTCTTATAAATGTGTCTGTAATGTATAAAAAATGTTAATTTTTTTAACATGACAGGTTCGGGACGCGCACTTAAGTGGTTGAAAAGAAGAGCTTTCATCAATACTGCTAGTATTGAAAAGTATGCGTAGTTTATAACATCGCGCGCGAGTACTGTTGCCTGTGTTGGAGCTTTTTCCCCCACCACACTTTTCGGGTAGTGCGCAGCTATAAGAGGACAGCGCGAAACACACGCTGGGCTTAGTCATGCATGAGCCGTTCAGCAAAACAGACGCTGCCTTTCACTTTTCCCCCACATGTGTACGGTATGGATATAGTCGCGTACTGTAAATCAGCGCGCCCTCTGGTGTCATATTGCTTAAATAGCGTTGAATACTACACAAATACTACTACTCTACACTACTCTGTTAAACATTTGACAGTCACATTTTTTTCCTTTTCCTTTTCACCCCAAAACTCTTTAATTTGTAAAATACTGTTACTGTTTATTATATATTACATACAAAACCACTCGTAATATTAATATTAACTCGATAAAAATAAATACAATGTAAACATTATACCATTAACTTAAATTGTTCTTTTTTTTCAGTTACTGTTTGTTTTCTTGTATCAAATTAGTATTATTTAACACGCATATCCGACAGTTTCAAAACCCCAAAGAAACTCTTACCTTTCTCGAACAAAGACAAACGCTCATTGGATAAATCACGCACGTAGACTCGATCGCCAGCAGCAAGCTTCTCCACGCCGGCCGTGTAACACGTGTTGCTTTTACGCACGCGAGTGGTCGAATGCGTCATTGTTGTACACTGGAGAATCATTTCTTGATTGCGATACACGTGGTAACCGTTCAAGTCGTGATCATCCACATAAAATATCTAATATAAAATAACATTAAAAATATTAATAATAGAAAAAAAAGTAGAATTGTTTATTATTTACCTGTGAATAAACAAAATAAAGACCGTCTTCGTTTATGGTAAGCACACCATTTGTAAAATCAAAGACGCCATCTTGGTTTGTGTCTTTCATCCAATCGCTTGAGATCCAATCCACATAAGTTCTATCCAAATGCTTTAAATGACCATTACCTAAATGAATAAATAGATTTTTTGTTTAACTATGGCTTCAGCGCCATCTAGATTAGACTTATTTAACTAAAACTATGATTTATGCTCCTTATATACTTTGAGCCTTTCTTTAACACCCTATAAGTTATAATTTTTAATCATAAAGTATCCAATATTTTTAACAATATTCTTAACCTTGGGTTTGCCAAATTTTATGAAGATCGTTTGAATAATTGCCCCGTGAAAGCGTAACAAACAAACAAATACTGACCGTGATAATTCTGATGCACACCCAAAGCATATTTGGATGTATCCCCGTGAAAATGCGCAGCTGGCATGTGACGTCGCGTGGGTCTCACAATTGTAGGCACTACAGGTGCTACATCTTCCTCAAAGCTCTCCACAACCCGTTGACGTTGTGTTGGTTGTACAGGCATGCGTCGTCGATAATTTCGTCCATTATTACTATAAGTATTCAATTCATCTGATTGTTGGCTCTAAATAAACATAAAATCAAATTAAATATTAATTATAATACAAATAAATTAGGTTATGTTAGGCTATAATAGGTTATGTTAAATTATTTTAGGTTAGGTTAGGTTATAACCTGATAACTCCGTGTTTCCAATGATTTAACCCTCGGTCTTGCTTTTACTTGTTGTTCTTCAGTGACATCAGACACATCAGGCGTTACGATAACTCTAGATGATCTTGTTATGATAGGTTTTGAGGTTATGGACACTTGATTATTATCCAATTCTGCATACAGCTTCAATTCGGGTTTTTGATTTGTTGAAGGCCACGCAGGACTAAACAACACACAAATTTACAATTAATAAAATTAATACAACCTAAAATAAACAAAAATACAAATTAATATTATTTACTTATGATATCCAGCTTGTATAACAGGTACAGACGCCAGTGGAAGTGGCGCTGCAGTCGTGTGACTTCTCCGCGTTGTTTTAACTCGTCTCCTGCTGCCACTGTCATTGAGTTGCCTAGCGTCAGCATACGACTGTGTATAGATCGGAACGCCATCTGTAGTCTCCGCAATAATTTCACGCTTTTTACGCTCGGAATGTTTTGGCATCGGGTCCAAACCGGCATCATCATAGGTATAATCATCCATAGACGGAAAATTATCCCAATCCCAATCGTGCATATTCGGGTGAACTTCAATATCCTACAAAACTAAAATAAAAAATAAATTTAAAGGTTATGACGCGAGTATCCCCTACTAATATTATAAATGCAGAAGTCTTGATGTTTTGTTACACTTTCACGCAAAACTACTTAACCGATCATCATGAAAATTTGAACACATATTCTTAGTGGTTCCCGAATGGTTATAAAGCTACTTTTTATTTAATAAAAAATTTTAAAATAAAATAAAAGAAATAGTTTAGCCAATAATAGCTCTGCATCTAGCTGTTTGACTGCTTTAACGCCATCTAGCATTCCAGCAATGGAAACTCAGAGCCACCAGTACTATATAGTACCATCACACTGTATTATTACCGACCTTCACGTCAACATCAAATCAATTGACTGCAAATATAATACATAATTCAATAGTCTAATCTCAATGCGGTCAACAAGACGACAAAGCATTCATTTGTTTTGATTACGCTCAATCTTACAGTCCAACACAACGTCATAGGCTTACCTCCGGACAATTGTAATGGCGGACGGAACACATATGCCGCTGCCATCGCTCCAACTCACGCACGCGCACATGCGTCGCATTCAGATGCCAATGCAACACTTGCACCTGATAGTAATTATACAAAAACCCCGCTGAACAACACAACATCCAGAATAATAACGTGCCATTGATCACCAACTGGTAACTAAAATGGCGCTTGGTTTTCTCGGACAATTTCTTAGCGATTCCCAGTTCTAACTCTTGGTATTCCATTGTGTATATGTTTCACTTGGTTTTATTTTGTAAACACTTTGTCACATGTTTTTCAGCACGCGGTTTGCGCACGACTGAAGCGACTTGAGATAATCCCTCGATATTTAACTCTGCGTGTGCTGCACATGCGTCGAGGCGTAGTGTAATCGCGACTGAAAACTTTCGTGCGCCGATGAATAATTTCCTCAACACTCTTTCTACAGGGTGTTCATAAAAAAATAACCAAAAATTAAAAAAATTTAAAACTTCACCGCTAGATGTCGTTTTGATGTTTTTTTTTATTTTACAGAAAACTGTAATTTTTAATTTTTTTGAAGTTTTTTTAATTACAGAAAACTGTAATTTTTTAAATTTTTTTTGTTTTATGTTGACACTTTGTAGATAATAACTTTGTGAGTGTTATCTGCTTATCTATTAGTCCGACGACGTTGGTGCGACAATGAACGAGTTTATTTGCGGCGATTAGACGTCCGTTTTGGGCTTTATCACTCGCCACTAACAACACAACAAACAGATTATCTCTCCACGTTGTGTTTGTTGCTCGTCGTTACAAATGTAATGCCATCGGCGATTACGATATACATCTGCATTGAAGATCAAATATTGTTAACATAACCTATTCATAACCCAACCGGTTCAATTGGACTAATTCGTTAATAACTAGTCGGAAGACAAGTAATTAATTCGAGGAAGTTGTGAATCATTAATTGAGGCGTAATTAGACGCATGCTGAAAGTTTCATGCAAGTTTAATTGGATTCAGTTGAATGTTTCAGCTTGGATTCATTTGATTAATGTGATGAATTTGAATGTTTTAATGTTTGAGCACAGATGGCGCTGTTTGTGAAGTTTTGTGTGTCACGTGTGTTATGATTAATTTAAATGGTAAACGATGGCGTCATTTGATAGTTGATAGTTGGTAGTTTGACATTGGCCTTTTATACTGAACGCTTAATGAATGTACTTTTAGTGTAATATAAATAGTTGAAATGCACATGTGTTTTTGTGATAACGCTTTGGGACGCAGTTTGTTCAAGGTCAAACAAGCACAACTATAACTTGATTAAACAGACAGTGGTTGTAATAATGTTATAATAATGTATTAAAGTGTATTTATCTGTTGCAGAATTTCGGTTGCGCATTTTGTTATTTATTAATCATTGACATATTTATTGACCAGTGTGCAATGTGTTATTTCAATTTTCGTCTAGGAATTGATCTTGACATAGTAATATGAGTAGTAAAGTAAAAATAGATTAAATATGGTCAAGGGTATGATTGTGGTTTGCTATTGTTTCACTAGATGGCGCAAATACTCGTAATCATATTGATTGATTAGTAGGTGAATAAATAGGTTAAGTTTGGTTTATAAGATAACTGTTATTGATTTAATTTATGATTTTATTTGTAAAATGTATGATTTTTGCGTTTTTGTTCAAGTTTGATTAAATATTGTATTACATTCGAGAGTAATCCATTTTTCATATTATTATATAATTGAAAATCTTGTTATTCTGTTGACGTTGTGTTGTTGTGTAAGAAATAAGAAATTCAATTTCGTTTTTAATTTATTTCATGATTCAATAGTTATTCTGCAAAAAATAAGCTCATCCACTCTTAAGTAATAATTCTGACTTTTCTATAAAATATTTAATAATATATTAAGTATCAAGTAGCTAAATAAGGACTTTACTCACAAGATTGATTAAGTTTAATTAATCGAGTATTTAACAACGTTTAGCCACGTGTTGCTTACGCTATGTTTTCTACTTCCACTGTAATTCCACGTTGAGTTTTTATATTTAAACTTTTTATCTTTAAATCATTATAATTTGCTCGTACACTACTACAAAATGTAAGGTTATAAATACCATACTGCGCGCTGGTTCACGTGACGCGTCGGGCCATATCCCGCCGCTCCGACACGAGCAACACCAACGCATGCTTTGACGTGTTTTACTGACGTCGCATGGCATTTCATACGGTCTTGTACTGCTCCGTAGGCAAATACGCAGGCGCAAGCTCCGTCCCGTAAATAATACCTGTAGATAATGGATATTACTCACGGTTTGGCCGTCCGAATAAAAAGTACCACTTTTTGTGTATAAAAACCGTGGAAAAACAGTCGTGTTAAAGGTGAAAATAATAAAAAAATTTAATGTATTTAAACAAATATTAACAACATTTCTCCATTCATATTGACGCACATACAAAAATTGATAACAAAATACTTCAAAACCAATAAAAAAACCCACAATTAATGTTAACCAATAAAAAACATTCAATAAAACAATTAATATTCCGCCATTCGTTACTAACCTCACTTTAAGCAACTATCCAGAACTATTCTCAGCAGACAGTATGTTTCCTCTGCTCACGCATCAAAAACATGCTTTATTACTACTTATTTAACGCATAATGTAATTATTTGTTAATTTTGTGTTTGTTGCTCGTCGTTACAAATGTAATGCCATCGACGATTACGATATACATCTGCATTGAAGATCAAATATTGTTAACATAACCTATTCATAACCTAACCGGTTCAATTGGACTAATTCGTTAATAACTAGTCGGAAAGCAAGTAATTAATTCGAGGAAGTTGTGAATCATTAATTTAGGCGTAATTAGACGCATGCTGAAAGTTTCATGCAAGTTTAATTGGATTCAGTTGAATGTTTCAGCTTGGATTCATCTTTTAATATGATGAATTTGAATGTTTTAATGTTTGTGCACAGATGGCGCTGTTGGTGAAGTTTTGTGTGTCACGTGTGTTATGATTCATTTAAATGGTAAACGATGGCGTCATTTGGTTGGTAGTTGATAGTTGATAGTTGGTAGTTTGACATTGGCCTTTTATACTGAACGCTTAATGAATGTACTTTTAGTGTAATATAAATAGTTGAAATGCACATGTGTTTTTGTGATAACGCTTTGGGACGCAGTTTGTTCAAGGTCAAACAAGCACAACTATAACTTGATTAAACAGACAATTGTTGTAATAATGTTATAATAATGTATTAATGTGTATCTATTTGCAGAATTTTGGTTGCGCATTTTGTTATTTATTAATCATTGACATATTTATGGACCAGTGTGCAATGTGTTATTTTCATTTTCGTCTAGGAATTGATCTTGACATAGTAATACGAGTAGTAAAGTAAAAATAGTTTAAATATGGTCAAGGGCATGATTGTGGTTTGTTATAGTTTTACTAGATGGCGCAAATATTGGTAATCATATTGATAGATTAGTAGGTGAATAAATAGGTTAGGTTTGGTTTAAACATTACTGTTATTGATTTAATTTATTTTTTTATTGATAAAATGCATGTTTTTTGCGTTTTTGTTAAAGTTTGATTGAATATTGTATTACATTCGAGCGAAATCCATTTTTCATAATATATTATTATATAATTGAAAATCTTATTATTCTGTTGACGTTGTGTTATTGTATAAGAAATTCAATCTCGTTTTTAATTTATTTCATGATTCAATAGTTATTCTGCAAAAAAATAAGTTCATCCACTCTTAAATATTAATCCTGATTTTTTAATAAAACTTTTAATAGTATATTAAATATCAAGTGGCTAAACGTGGACTTTACTCACGAGATTGATTAATTTAAGCAATTGGGTGTTTAACAACGTTTAGCCACATGATGCTTACACTATATTTTCTACTTCCACTCTAGTTTCACGTTGCGGTTTTTGTATTTCAACTTTTTTTATTTTAAATCATCGAAATTTGCTCGCGCACTACTACAAAATGTAAGGTGTTTGACTGACGTCGCATGACATTTCATACGGTCTTGTGCTGCTCCGTAGGCAAATGCGCAGGCGCTAGCTCCGACCCGTAGATAATGTCCGTAGATAATGAATAGTATTCACGACTTGGCCGTCCGTATATAAGGTACCACTTTTTGTGTCTAAAAACCGTAAAAAAACTGACGCGTTAAAAGTGGAAGTAGAAAAAAACATTTAAAGTATTTCAACAAATATTAACAACATTTTTCCATTCATATTGACGCACAAACAAAAATTGATAACAAAATACTTCAAAACCAATAAAAAACCCACAATTAATGTTAACAAATAAAAAACATTCAATAAAACAATTGATATTCCGCCATTCGTTTCTAACCTCACTTTAAGCAACTATCCAGAACTATTCTCAGCAGACAGTATGTTTCCTCTGCTCACGCATCAAAAACATGCTTTATTACTACTTATTTAATGCATAATGTAACTATTTGTTAATTTTACAACATAAAAACAAATATTACACTTGCTTTAAATATATTTCTACTTAATTTCACTACAAGGCTGCATTCCACGTCCATTACTCATTTATATCACACTCTAAAACAATTTTTAAAACAAATAAATCGTCATCATCTCGATTAAGAAAATTAATTAAATAATTATTATTCCAGAACAAGTTTATTACAAACTAGCTTTAACCCGCGGCTTCGCTCGCGTTGAAACCATCAAATAAATATTAGAAATCATCATACATAGTTGAAACGAATTGATAATTTTTTTTATTAAATAAAAAGTAGCCTATAACCATTCGGAGACCACTAAGAATATGTGTACAAATTTTCATGATGATCAGTTAAGTAGTTTTTGCGTGAAAGTGTAACAAACATCAGGGTTTTCGCATTTATAATATTAGTAGGGATTACAAATATATTAAACTTAATTAAACTTAATTTAACTTTATATTAATGAAAACTGCATATAAAGTTTTTCTTTCCTTCTAGAAACTCCTCAGAAATGAAAATAAAAAGAAAATTGTTAGGTAACCATGATTACAAAAAACTCAGCTTATCTATGGCTGCATTCACTTCACATAGAAAACGAAAAAAAAATAAAAAATAAAAAAACATGGCAGAAGTCTTTGAGTTACCAGCCTGCCTGCGGCGGGAAATTATTGGAGTGTGATTCTGATTGTGATTGTGGCGGTGGCGAGCAACAAGCAACAGGATTTGCCCGCGCGGAGAAAATCGATTTTCGCCGAGCGTCGCGGCGCCGGCGCCCACGACGCGCATATAAACCACCTCGGCGGATGAACCTATATCGACAGACAGTCAGTCCTCGCAATTCTTGTCCTGCGGTGCTGAGCGTAGGCGTAATTCGTGCTGAAATTCAACACTGTATTTGTTTTGGCAGCAGTCGTAAACGTGATACTGTACATCAAGCCACAGGACGAGATTATCAAAGATTAGTAAGAGGTGAAGAGGTGAAGAAGTGCAGAGGTTGAAGGGGGAAATTCAGGATTAAAGTATTATTATACTGAATTTATAGTTGAATGGATTAAAAAGTAAGTAAAGTTAATTTTTTTCTTAAAAATAATCAAAAATTATGCGTAAAACGCTTAAAAATAAAAAATAAAATAAAAATTTATTGGTAAACTATGTGGGGATTACTAATGAAGGTCCTGAAGGAATGTGGATGACATTCCATGACATTCTATGACATTCCATCGACGAGTAATGAAATTCTTTGGGGATTTCCATTGTCAATTGACGATTTGTGAAATAAAACTTTTTTCTTTTTTTTTGCAGTGAATATCATGTTGCAATATCAATTATTCACGTTGCTCTTGTTGCTCATCGCGTCAAACGCTGAGGATTCTCTCCAGGGAGCCCTCAAAGCTGTCCACCGTCGACAACGCGACCTCTCCGGTTATTCCCGATACGATAATTATGGAAATGATGACTTTTCTGATTTGGGTAAGTTATATTTACCAATATATATCCTCCGACTATAGGCAACCCATTATTCATATTAATACTCGTAGCTAAATATGAAAATCGTAAGTCTGAGTTAGAGAAAGCTCTCTTTGAATATCTCGAAAACGCGCAGGATTACGACCCTGATGAATCACCACCCTCATCGCCCTTCCGTGAACGTGCTGAAAAATCTCACAATATGCGTAATATACAACATAACCCTCAACGTAACTATCGACGCGGCTCTAATGACGATGATTATATCGAATTCTTGAATGAAATGAAATATCCGAGTCAAGATAACCTTGAAGAGTTATACTCTCCACCGTATAAACGTTATAATTATTACAACTACAATAGTTTGGGTTACAACGGTGTGGGCATGCGCAAACGGCGGCCATTTTCTCATGCATCATACTATGAAGACGACCTAACCCCGAATTATTCAGGCGGTGCTTATGGGATTTATAAATCAAGAGAACGTCGCGTGCCGTTTTATCCTGTCACAAAACGATTTCCTGTCTCAAAGCGGAGCATGAAAGAGGTTAAAGAGGTTAATCAACGTAAAGTTAAACGTACGGATCCACAAGTCGAAAAAGAATTATCCCAACTATTTGACAACACAAATAATAATAATGAAAAAGAAAATAAAGATAAAACACCGAAAAAAGTGAGTGTTACAACTAAGAAACCTACATTTGGTAAAGTAGTGACAACAGCGCCACCTACCAAACAAGAACCTACAACTATTGACACACAAGCACAAGAACAACCGCTGCAAATGAGTAAAAAATCTGTAAAGTGGTCGGATTACTTCGGCATTGATCGACGCAAGAAATCAAGCAATCTAGACAACGAATGGTTGATAAATCGTTATCACAAAGCCGTGGAACTATCAAAATCAAAGAAAAGCGAAGAATATCCATTGAAAAACTTTCATAAACATGAATATTCATCATCAACACAACCTACAAATTTAAACGCAAAATCAACTACAGGAATCTACAAAAATGATAAAAATAAAAACCTTGACAGTATGGAAGTACTCGATGAAAAACTCAAATCAATCGAGGAAAGTATCATAGATGATACATTGAAATACACGGGCGCTTCCGGAGCACAGGATGATATTGACGGTGAGGAAATGAAAGATGTTAAGGATAGTATTATAGCACGTTTGGCAACAGCGTACAATGTTGAAAAGATGAGGAAAGCTTTGAAGGAATATCGACAGTCGTTAGCACTACGACATGAACATGATGAAGAGTATCCTGATAATGAAGCGGAGGATTCCAACGAAGATGTTGATAAAGAAAAGAAGAAGAGAGTGGCTGTTGCAAGGAAACAAGCTGTTGATGAAGATCATCATGCTGATAACGATGAAGATAACAATATAAAATGCACGGAAAGTGATGAAAATTGCGCTGAGCAAAATTATAAAGTACCAAAAGAGTTTATGGAGCAATCTACGTTTGAAAAAGGTTAGATTTGAGGTTAAGTTTAATTTAATGTTAAATTTGTTGATTTTTAGGTGGTTGTGAGCGTATTGAACGCGCATGTCGTGAAGTTTCGTTGATTCTCGGCCCGTATGGGACTATATTCGAGACAGCGTGTAATATGCATCAGATGTGTATGTTGTGTGTAAGTAACCATTTTGTTTTTTTGGGATTTTGGATGTTTTTGTATGTATAATGTGTTTTATTGATTATATTGATTGTGGTTATTATTTACAGAGTGATAACAGTTGGTTTTCGCCGACACGTCAGTGTAATATTCTGTTTTTGTCCAAAGCGGATCAAATGTGCGATGGTGATGTGGGCTGTCAAAGGGGGGCGCGCGAGTCGATCAAGTATCTACAACATGTCGATCGTAACATGCGTGATGGTTTGAGTGTTGCCTGCAACTTGGAATGCCCCGACCGGCGATAAATCATAAGCTAATATTGTAATATTCATTCAAAATGGCCGCTATACACAGGAAATAACACTGAAAATGGATACAGAGTAATATATATTGCAGTATTTATATATTAATTTATTTAAATTAGTTTTATTGGTTGAAAAAATATTTTTGGATGTTTTTTGTGGTTATGTTTGATGTTTTGAGGTTATTTTGGGTTAAAATGATTGTTTTGAGTTTTTCTATGCTTGGAAACAACTATCGAGTATAACATTGATGTTGGCTGATGATAACACGATTAAATTTTAGATGTGTACTGATAACAAGCAAATTTAACACTGATAATACAAAAATATTAACTAAATATAACCGGTAAACATTTATTATCACTACAACTGCATCATATGAGTCTTGTCATAAAAACATAGCATACAACTATAAAAAAGACAAAATGAATAAATAAATATATTTATTGTTGTTATATGTGTATTAAACAAAGAAGATGAATCTTTAAATCTTTATGTAGCTGAGAATGAAGAGAAATACTTTTGGAATGTGTATTTATTGACTGGGCGGTATTTTGTTATGGTATATACTCGTGCATATTAACATAACCAAAACATAACCTATTTTGTTTGCTTTTGCTGGAAATATTTACGGAAGTAATGACTGCTGACAATAAACAACGTGAAACAACACAAAAATACGAAAAATTCCTATGATGTTTTGATTTTATGATGATGATGATGTGAAAAATATGAGGAATATGATGAATTTGATTGCTTTTACGATTTAAGATGTCAACATTAAGATTATAAAGCATGATAACAAAATAAATGTCATAAATTACTGTAATATTACTGATTCATGTAGTGAGAATAAAAAATATATTAAGTTATAAAGGAAGAAATCATTGGAATCCAATTTAATATCCGTTATAACAATAAAAAGTTATTAATTTATAAATAGTGTAAAAATAATCATTGAGTACTAAGAAAAAGTTATAACATAACCTATAACGGGTATTTTTGACAAGTGTAACGTAAACTTATGGAAATGTAAGGTTATAATTACGTGTCGCGTCATATGGCATTTTATATGGTCTTGTGCTGCACCGTAGGCTAATGCGCAGACGCCAGCTCCACCCCGTGACTAAAACCCGTGACTAAAGTACTAAAGTACCGATTGTGGTCGTTCGTGTTTAAAATTACTACTTTTTGTGTTTAAAAGTGACCCTTTAAAGATTAAAGTAGAAAAATTAAATTAATTACAATATTAATTAAGAAAGGTTAAGAATTGCTTTCTACAGGAAATGTAAAAATAAAAATCATAATTCATACATTTACAACTCAGCAACATAAAAAAAAACAAAAAGTAAAATAAATCAATGTCAATTGAACTTTCATTTAATAAATACTTGAAATAGAAAAGTATTATTATTATATTCCCAGTTTTAATTTGTTTTAATAAGTAAACCACAGCTTATTACTTAAAAGTGATAACCTTGTGTGAATGTTATATCTGTGAGTGCAAAGTACTTACACCGATCACTAAGCATAACATAAGTAGCCAATAGATTCGTGATAACGCCTCAGTACATTCAACCAACTAATACAATTACTATATTAAACATAAACCCATAACACAAAAACCCAAAAAAACCTAAAATCATGGGTTTTTCATTAATATTTCTAATATGTCTACTTGTTGGTTTAATTTTATTCTGCATCGGCGTAGAATTATACAACAAACTAAGTGAAACCGCCAGACTTATCAATTTAATCCCTGGACCTCCAACTGTTCCTATTTTGGGGAACGCTACTGATATTATTGACAATCCCAGTAAGTAATAACACATATAAAACATCATATAAGAAAAATTCATTGTCATTTGGGTTGCCTAACATGAATTTCTTAACTTATGATTTATTCTAGTTGGAATATTTGACAAATTACGCAAATGGTCCAAACAATATTATCCAGTGTATAAACTATGGTCCTCCAATGCATTCTATGGTATTATGATATGTGCACCTGAAGATATGCAGGTATGCAACCAATTAAACACTTAAACAACCTAAAATTAATCAAATTAATTTTCAGACGATATTATCAAACACAAAACACAATGAAAAAAGCCAAATATATTGGTTATTCCACGACTGGTTAGGAGAAGGATTATTAACGAGTAACTTTGAAAAATGGCAACACCGCAGAAAAATCATAACCCCAACATTCCACTTCAACATCCTCAAGCGTTACATTAGCGTTTTCAATAAACATTCAAAAGGATTCGTTGAAGACATCAAAAGTGATTCGAACAAAGAAATAGATATACTTCCACATATACATAAATCATCATTACACACAATTGCAGGTTAGATTAAAAATCAATCAAATTTTAAGGTTAAATTTCACAAAAAACTATTTTAAATAGAAGCTGCTATGGGTACATCACTAGAGGATGCAGCATCAGAGAAAAAATACCGTAACGCCATCCACAGGTAAACAACATAACCTAAAAACACATAATTTTACTAATTTCGTTATTATTTTGAGGTTAGAATGGGTGAAATCACCGTGTATCGCCTCCTACGTCCATGGTTCTACTTCTACATCGTGAGTTTATTCACTCATCACTTCTACGAAGAACGATTCCTCCTCCGTTACCTAAAAAACTTCACGAAAAAAGTAATCGATGAACGTGAGAAAACCTTCAAAGATTCCGACATTACCGACGCACAGCAAGACGCCGACAGCGACACAGATGCCTACGGCACAAAAAAGAAACGCCTAGCTATGTTAGATCTCCTCTTATCAGCGAAAAACAAAGGCGAAATAACTTACGATGGAATACGTGAAGAAGTAGATACTTTCATGTTTGAAGGTCATGATACAATCTCAATGGCTTTACAATTCATGCTTCTATTATTAGCTAATCACCCACAAGAACAACAAAAACTCTATGAGGAAGTCTCCGCCATTTTGGATGACAATAGAGATCCGACTTATGAAGACCTACATCAGATGAATTACATGGAGTTGGTTATAAAGGAGTCTTTGAGGTTATATCCAAGTGTCCCTTTGATTTCAAGGTTAAACGGTGAGGAATTCACAGCGTCTTCTGGGCATAGAATACCGGTGGGTAGTGTGTTGATTATGAACATTTATGATACGCATAGATTGGAACATATTTATCCTGAGCCGGATAAGTTTATCCCGGAGAGGTTTACAGTGGAGAATTCAAAGGATAGGCATCCGTATGCGTATCTGCCGTTTAGTGCAGGGTCGAGGAATTGTATCGGGCAGAAGTACGCCATGTTGAATATGAAGTGTAAGCTGGCGGCTATTGTGAAGAGTTTTGTTTTGTTGCCGGTGGATACACCGGAGAGTATTACGTTAATGGCGGATATTATTTTACGGACTAAGGAGGGGATTAAGATTAAGGTTAAGGCAAGAAAGTAGGTTAGGTGTTATTTTTTTAGTATTTAAGAGTTAGGTATTGTTTATACTTAAATTGGTGATTTAAGAAGTTAAATAAATAATTGTTTGTTGATAATATTTGGATTTCTGGAGAGGGAATGTTGATTTTTTTTGTAAAAAGTGTTAAAATGCAAAAAAATGTTTGCTTTTACTTAAAATTTGCCTGACTTCAATGTTGAGTCTTTACAGATGGTTAATCTTAAGTGGGAGAAATGACGTCATTGTTGGGCTCTGTGATTTGTTTTCTTTATATTTTGACGTTTTTCTTTAATTTTTTGATTTATTTTAATGAAAAAATCATTACTTTCCTTATTTTTCATCAAATAAATAAATAATTTTTGCTATTTTCAGATAAATTCATCATTTTTCTAGTTGAAATTATTTTTATCATATATTTTTAATTTTTTAATAAATATTTGGCTATTTGTTGCAAAAACAAATCAATAAATTCAAATTTTTAAAATCTCACGTTTCTCTTCATAAAAAACACAAATTTATAATACATTTTAAATTTATAAACACAACATAACCTACTCTACTATCTACTGCTTAATTTCGAGGTTAAATCAATACAATTTCCTACTTTAATCATAGCCTAACCTAATTTTAACTCTAACTATTTATAAACTTTCCTCTCAATTTCCTGATAAGTCTTATTCTTAGTCTCAATCAAAAAGAAATGCGTCATTAAAATAGTAGCAAACGTAAACCCAGAATAAATCCAAAAGCATGTATACGTCCCCCATGCTTCCCTTATTGGTTCGAAAGTTTTTGTCACTCCGAAAACAGCCAGTGCACCAGCTGAACTAAACATAGTGGTTGCAACGTTTTTCATTTTATCATTGAAAAACTCGCCGAGTAATATATAGGGAACTGATGAATGCACTGCATGACTTATTAAAAATATGACCAAGCCGGTTGTAGGCAACCATGATATCGCAGACACATCTTGTTTGAGGTAATCTTCCAAATAGAAGTAAACGCCTTCAGCGATGAGTGGAATTAGGCAACCGGTGCAGCCTATGTATAGGATTACTTTACGTCCGAGGCGATCAACTAAAAAAGCTGAGAGAATGGCTGAAAGAATAAAAATTGATTAGATGAAAGAGAAATTAAATGAAAGTGAGGTTATGTTTATGTTTTAATAGATTTTTGTCTGTAGAAGAAGTAGAAATTGATTTAAATTTAAAAAAAACTGCGTAATTAAATTGTTTGATGTGTTTTGGACGTGATAAATAATAAATAAAATAGGAAATGCCAAAAATTATAATAATACACTTCGGTGCCACCTCATTGTGTATTATATAAGTACAAAAATGATTGGTATCCGATTTGATTCGATTTTTTTGATTTTTTTGATTTTCCGAACAAAATATTGAAATTTTTAAATAAAAAATATCCTATGTCCTTCATAGTGTTCTTGAAAACATATATACAAAATTTCATAATGATCGGATGAGTAGTTTCCAAGTAAAAGCGAAACAAACAAACAAAAACACAAAAATAACTAATAAATTACCTGCTGGTATTTGTATGAGTCCAAAAACAATACTTGACACCTCCGGACTGATGTCACTCTCACTACTAGCAATAATCTCTTGCTGATAAGAATTAATCGCATTGAATCCTCCAAAATATTCGAAAGTCACAAGTGTGATCACAATCGCCATTGATTTCACATATTTCCAATTAGAGAATACTTCTTTTATACCAAGTGGACGTTCCGCTGTGTGTACGAATGCGACAATAGTTTTAACTCTTTCGTCTATTTCGTTATCGTCTGTTGATCCAGATAACATGACAACAGCTTCACGCGCTTCATCTAGACGTTGTTTCTTTACTAAAGAGTAGGGAGATTCTGGGATGAAGAAGAGCAGGCAGAATAAGGTGAATGGGACAATTGCGCAAACAATTGCTAGGACTGTGTAGGAAACAAAAGGGCCTACAGCAAGGACTATAATTGATCCGGATAGTTTCATTACTCCGTAGGATGTGCCTAAACGGCCACGGATGTCGGGATCAGCTATTTCTGATGAGTACATTGCTGCTGTCTAGAGAAATATTTAAAAATTGATATTAATAGTAATTAAGAAAGGTTATGTGAAGTTATGTGAAGTTATGTTACAGGAAACTGTAAATTTACTAAATATACTTCTTTGTTTTTGATTGGTACAGTATCTGTGGTTATTTTCAGTTAATTTTTACTAAATCTTTTCTATTTGTGTTTGTTTTTTGTTTTATAAGCTATTTAACATATGCAACTTGTAAAACCCAATTGATTTTTTATTTTTTACGTTTTATAACTACTTTTTGATATAGGCAAATTGTAAAACACAATAGATTTTTTGTTTTTCGTCTTTTGGAGCCACAATTTCAATTTGCATGTAAACTAGGCAACCAGTTATCCACAATCCAATGTATAACACAGATCATTATTATGTGAGGTTATGTAGTGTGTACTTACAATTATAGTTGTTCCCAGTAATAATCCTGCTAATATTCGTGCTGCGTAGATATACGCAACGTGATTGGCGAATATTATAATAAACCAAGGTAGGAAAAGTGTGACAGAAGCAGCGTGTAGTACTTGTTTCCGACAGAAACGTGCAGTAGTCAGATGAAAAGTAAACGCAGCAGGAAAACCAGATAATAAAATAATGGAAACAATCCATGATGAATCTTCCTACATAAAATAAAGATACATGAATGGTTTAATATTTATTCTGTTTATTTATTAATAACTTACACTTGAAATTGGTTCACCAAGTGGTGACTCATCTCCCTTTAGTATTGATATCGTAGGTGACGGCCATGTTAGATACATTTGGGTTGTGGTAACCCCTAAAGAAGCTAAAAAGTAATAATTTAAAATTGAAAATAAAAATTATGTAAAATTTTGTATTAATAATATAATTACCAATTAAAACTGACACATATTGCATCCCCCTGGTGCCTCGAAACAAGTTTGACAATATATGTGACACCATTTTGTTTTTGATTCGGTTTCTATAGCTGTCTTACTATCTCACTAGTGAGTGAATTTCTTACTGCTTAAATAATGTGGTAATGAATTCCGAGATGGGTTTTGTTTGGAATGTAATAATTAGCTTCTTAAATTATCTAATATATACTTATCTGTCATATAAATCTAATTCTGCCATTATCACATAATGCGTGATGCATAAATGAGATGACAGTTAATGATACGTTGTTATCTTAATCTAAACTTAGCTTATACAGTGATTTACATGCAGATCAAGTTAAGATTATGTTTTCTTTTTTGTTATTACACGTGCGCGTTTCACTAGTCTCGTCGATTACACACGTGTTAATCGTGTGCAATGTCATTGTAGTTGATTATAGTGGATCTAAACTAGTTTATAGCATGAAGTGATTGTATTTTTAGAGGAAGTCAGTATTTATTTTTATATTTTCAAGATAATTCCACTTATGTATGGAATTTTATCGGTAATAATCAAAGCTATTTTTAATTCAATTTGTTTGTGAGATACAAAGTTCTGCATTCATATTATTATCTATGAATATTGCTGCGTTCATTCATTTTAGGAGAGCCTCATTAAGCTCAAGCCTCATACGTCACATACGCAATCATGTTTTCACTATTTCCCTTTTTCTACTTCCACCTAAAGTACTTTTGTCACAGGCTTTAGTCACGGGGTGAAACATGCGCCTGCGCATTTGCCTACGATGATTAAAGTGTCGTTTAGCACACTTGAAACTTGATATGTTATTTTGATATAGAAATATATTGGATTTAGTAAAGGATCATTACTTTTAACACGTTGACGCCGGCGTGACCCACCGGTGGGTCACGGCATTATTTGAAACGAGATGGAATTCATTTTTGACTACACCACTGGTTGGGTTATATCTTTTTCTCGTCTCACCTATACAATGAGTGTCTTGCATCTTTGTCACCAAATGTGTCACTCAGATTACATATTATAATAAATAGTGACCGACCGAAATTTCAGTTTCGGCTTCAATTTCGATTTCGGCCAAAAATTGGATGAAACTTGTGGCAGAACCAAAACTCAATGTTCGTAAAATATCGTGTGTCGTGGGCTAACTCGCGGCTAAGTCGTGGTCGTCACTTGCCATCTCAGTTTGCACATAGTTTCGGTCGGACTCTAAAGATAAAGGCATTCATTACAAAGAAAATAAATAAATGGCGACGCATTTGCAAAAACAATCGCTTTTTGCTTTAGCAAGTCAAAACAACCAGGGCGCACAGCTGAATTAATTAGACGGAGTTGAAAATGCTCAAACGCCGCCCGATGCGGCGGACACTCAAAAACCGCGCCGGCGTCAACGTGTTAATTATGCATAACAAATCATTAGAATGATAAATTAAGAGATAAAAATAAAATAAATATGAAAATTTAATCGTAGTTATAGCTAGATAATTCAATCCGAGATGGCGCTGTGATGCGCATCTGAATATAATCTAATCTTAAAATTATTGTAATGATAACGAAAAGCTTGAAAACACAAACTAATGTTTGTTATTGTTTTGCCACGCGCACTTTTGTGATTAACAATATTATTGAAAGTTCAATTTCTGGGTATTTACAAAATTAGTTCAAAACAACAATGTTAGCACCTTTTTATTATCTAAATATTGGACTTTATCCAAACTAAATCTAAATTCCTAGAAATTCTGAGGTTGAGGTTATGTTATGCCAGTTTATGACGTGCTATGGCAAAACATCAAGTTTATTTTCAGATTTCCTTAACTACTAGGCAACTTTACAGCATTTTCAGGTATTTATAAACAAATTTATCACTATTACACTTGCCAAAAACTCTTCCTCTTTTAAATAACCTACGATATAATACAACACACAAAAAACACCAAAAAGTGAAAACTATCTTTGTTTTTGGCAAACATCACAATTCAATGACGTATTTTACATGTCATACCCTCCTGTAAATTACAATAATAATATGACAAATAAAACAAACAGATATTTAAATGTATTGTAAATAATCACGATATATTTTATTCGCTTAATCGTTCACAACAAAAAACAAAAAACGCAAACAAGCCAAAAGCAGACGTATTTCGTTGAACTTTTGAACTAATCAGCGAATCAATTAGTGCGCGATGTGAGCATTGAGTTACATCCTGTTTTAGTCGGTTTTCTTATCATCATGTGCATATATACGATATACAAAATGTCAATGAGACAATTTTTCCATAATATTTTCGCTATCACTCAAATTATTCACACATCACATAAAAACGAGGTCAACAATATTCCATCTCCTTTATAATTACTAATTATATTATCATCATGCAGATGCTTGGAAATGTAATATAATATCATGTGCAGTTATCAAATTATTTAAAAAGAATGGTATATAAGAATGGTATGTAAATATGACGCAGGACGCTAATCTCTAAATATTAACAGCCAAACCAATCGCGAATTCGATGTGTGGTCGAGAGAACTCACACGATTCTGGTTTGATTGTTTTGTTTTTAATGAATTCGAATGGCAAGTGTTCGTCTTGTGATCAATCAGCTTATGACGCATATTTATGATACATACAAGCACGAGTAAGTGTGGTAGTTGTGTGACTTGTGACTTGTGACACATGGAAAGCAAATAATATTTAATCACAGACGCATTGCAGCGTAATATACATTGTCAAAATAATAAAAATAAAAGAATTATTCTGATCATGGATGATTGTTGATGAGTGTATTTTTTATTGAGTGCATCAAGTTCAATACGTCATGTATTAATACGTACAGTTATTAATTCTAAGAATACAATATTTTCAATTTATTTATACTCTTGTATGGGTAAATTACTGTTTGTTTGTATGTTACTTTTTAACTTTTAAATTACTGGAAGGATTTTGATGAAATTTTCAGGGAATCTTTATATTAGTATAGTGAGTGATACAGGAAAGTTTGGTTGGGAAAATATTACTTAAAGGGTGAGAAATAAAGGATTAAAGTTTGATAATTATGTATTTTGAATCCAGATAGCGCTAAGTTGGATATATTATATTTAATTGTTAATAATTAAATATATCATATTAATCCAAATATAGATTAAATCTGAGATAATTTTAACTAGAAACTGAAAGTAAAAGTTTGTTATTTCCTAAATACATAAATTCTGATAAGAATATCAAAAAACCTATAAACACTCAATTTTCAGACACAAAAATACTTAAAATCAAAATTTAACATTTAATCCACACTAAAATACTGAATTACAACTTCCTTTGCTCTTATCATCATATATTCTGAAATTAAATGTGTTTTTAAACCTTAAAACGTGAAAATTTATCACTTTCTATTTAATTTTTAGGTTATTTTTTCATATTAACCTTAAATATAATTAAAATTACATTATAACCCACTATTTTATATTCCAAATATCAAAAAATCAATTATTTAAGCAATTTGTGTAAATAATTAATAATTTATTAACGCAAAAATGCGTAAAATCAATAATTAACACTTAATCCACACTAAATAACAACTTCCTTTACTCTTATCATTCATACACTGATATAAAATGTGTTTTTAAAATTTTAAAAGTTAAAATTCATCATTTTCTATGAAATTTTTAAGTTATTAATTCATATTAACATCAAATAACCTAAAAATTATATAATAACACAATATATTATAATCCACACATCAAAAAATTAACTATTTAAACAATTTGCGCAAATTATTGCTAATTTTACACGCAAAAATCACTAGAATCAATTTTTAACTTTTTTCCAAAGGAAATTACAACTTCCTTTACTCTTATCATCATACACTGATATAAAATTGTTTTTTTTTTTAGTTTTAAAAGTCGAAATTCATCACTTTCTATTTAATTTTTAGGTTATTAATTAAAATTAACCTCAAATAACATTAAAATTATATAATAACCCACTATTTTACATTCCACACATTAAAAAATTAACAATTTAAGCAATTTGCGCAAATATTTACCAATTTCAGACGCAAAAATGCCAAAAATCGATTTTTAACTCTTTTTCCAAAGGAAATTAGGAAATTACTAAATTAAACTTATCCTCTTATATGATATATATAAAATTATAATAAAACAATATATGCGTAGATGTCGTAGATTGCCAGATCTTACCGGTAAATTTCCCCGCAACAAAGCCGGTGTCTGCTCGTGTCTACCGTCTCTACGTGCGCGTATCTCGATAGTGCAAAGTGCGCACGAAGTTACATCATCCACAAACGCGGCACGCCAGACTGCGTGCGCGCGTCTGCCGCCAACAGTTCATTCATTCCGAAAACCGTACTCTACCGGTGCCGGGACACGCGCCCATTGCCGTGCGAGACGCTGCGCCGAACGGTCGCACAACGCACTACAATATATTACAAAACGTCAATCAAAACATCAAGAAAAACAAGTTTAAAGAAAGTTTTTCACAACCAGAATAATACAAAGTGTTAATAATTAACTATAACTCAAAAATAAACAAAAAAATTTAAAAATAAAAAAGTTTTCAGTGAATTTTTGAAGATTTAACTTTAACCAAAGTGAAAATTTCTCGTTTCTGACTGACAGCAACAAGAAAGTTGACCGCAGTTGTCCGTCAACGTGTAATTAACTCTTTTAACGACACGGTGAAAAGTGTTTTAAGTGCATCGTAAACCACAGAGACTATTTCAATAAACTGCTGTTGTGGTTTAAAATAAAATTAATAATGGCGGAAGTTGTGGAGCATTTGGACAATCAGCAACAAGTGGAATTGTTGGCGAGTGTGAATGGGAGTGAGACGAAGGCCCTTTGGGTGTTTGGTTATGGCTCGCTCTGCTGGAAGCCGGGCTTTCGCTTCGACAAGGCTGTGGTTGGTCACGTGCGTGGTTTTTCGCGCAAGTTCTGGCAAGGGAATGCGACGCATCGCGGTACTAAAGAACAGGTCAGTTGTTATTTTTTATGCTTTGTGTGTTTATGGATGTATAAGTATAGAAATTGTTGTTTTTATTGTTGAAATAGAGAGAATTGTGAGAATTGTCAGTTTAATGTTGACATAACCTCAAAGTATAGCTATTTATAGCAATATTGTTAATAATAAAGTGAAATAAATGTTTTTAGATGATAAAAGTATATTGGTTTATTTAATTTATGGTAGAGGTTTAAAATAGGTGTTTTTATGTGTCTAGAGTGAAAATTACAATTTTTACATTGAATTAACCTCAAAATTCAGCTATTTGTGTCTTGTATGTTTGAAATATAGACAAAAATAGTGTTTACACATCGTAATAATTCGATATTCTGTTTTATTTTACTGTCTTGCCAATAAAATTGAAGTTTTTGACAAAATCAAATGTTTTACATTGAAATAACCTAAAAATTCAGCTATTTAAATGGAATAAATGATAAAACAACCAAATTACATTCAAATTGAACAAGTTTTCTACTTTACTTGCTTTTTTTCAAATTTATTCACAAAATTACTCTTTTTACATTAATATAGCCTTAAATTTAGTTAAAATTTAAACATATTTTACCTCCTACGTTGTTAAAATATAAAATTTCTAACTTTTCTTCTTTTCTTTTACAGCCTGGACGTGTTGCAACACTCATCGACGATGATACGGTAAGATTACCATTTAATAACTATCATTATTCATTTTTATGTGTTAGTGTTATTAAAATGTTAATTTTACCATCTAATCAGTATTGAATATTGATTAAATTATTAATGGAATAATGAAATAATGCATTAATACATTACAACATAATTTCTCGTCTCTGGAGAGTTTATATACTCGTATTAAAAAATAAACTGTCGTTTACTTTGTGTTAGTAGTGTTATTTCAAGTTTAGATTGTTAAACTGCTGTTAACACTGTTTAACAATGACCTATATATTATGTCGATAGACGAGAAGCTGTGGAATGAAAGAATTGAGGATCGTATTCAAAGTCATTACATTTTTTTGCTTATTTGTCTCCACATACATTCACTTCAAATAATTACATGCTCTGTTTGAAGGTTTAGAGACACACAAATCGTAAAATGTATTAAATATGCCGTTAATTAATTAAACAATAATTAAATCAATCTATTACGTACAAACAGAAGTCTATACTTTATATTAGAGTAGAGAAATATTTATGCAACCTAACTTACACTTACACTATTTACGTATTAACTGTTATTTCGGCGAAATTCGTTAATTCGATAAATTAACTTGTTTTTTGTTTGTTAGATAAATATCTAGATTAATTCTATCTTGGTATTATAAAAGATTGTGGTTTGTTATTGGCTGTGCGGATATTTATTCGAGTGTTAAACGCGTGGCGCACACGTGGACGTTGAACGCGTGCCGGAATTAACAGAGGCATTCCAATCATTCTCGACGGTAGCGAGCGTGGCGGTCGATCGATTTTCGTGGGCACGTGGCCCAAACGCCCGGCAACCGGCTACTAGCAACCGGCGAGATTTATATTATCATCATACTAAGCAGTGCATTATTCTGTTTACGACATACAATGTATGTGCATGCAAAATTTATTTCATAAAAGATAAATTGCTTATGATTTTAATAATATGCAACCCGTTGAACAAATTCGTGTTATAATTGCGTTGAAATTCGGTTAAATACCGATTTTTTTATTGTTTTATTTCTTTAATTGATGTTTAATTTATGTTTTGATGTTTTGAGAGTAGAATTGACAGTTTAAATTTATTCTGACGCCATCAAGAGGTAAAATCGGTAAAAATTGCAAAAAATGGAACAAAAAGGTGCATATTTATTGTTTGGTGGGTTGCATATTATTCCCAGACGATTGATTAGTGTTTTTCTAACCTCAAAAGTTGAAATTCATCAAAATATGTGTAATTTTTAGGTTATTAATTAATATTAACCTCAAATAACCTTATAATTATATAATAACACACTTTTATAGTCTATATAACATAAAATCCACTATTTAAGCAATTTGCGGAAATAAATGCTAATTTATTTGCACTTACTCCACTTTTTTGACGAAATTCACCAAACTTTTACTTTTAATTACCTAATAAATTAAACGTATCAAAAATGTGCCATAAAAATAACCATATTAAAGTTAATAGTTATAGTTCATTGTTCCCTACACTTAGCTACACTTTAATTGTGCAATAAAAACATTAAACAATAACATATTGTTACATAAAGTGAAATCATTTTTCAAAATTTTATTATTTACGATTTTTAATGCGTATCAGTTCACTCAACTCAACCCAAAGTCTTAACATTGATGTTTTGCGACTCAAACAAGGAAAATTAAATATAAATTGTTTAAAATAAATTTAAATGAATTTCTACGCAGCTCATTTCCAACATTGAACTTTGGACTTTTGTATTTTCGACTCAAAATCGTAAAAAAACAACAAAAAAATTCCGCGCCGCTAAAAATATGCATTTGCGTACGTCGCAGATCACGAGGCACAAGGTAGAGGTTTTGTGTTTAATGCGTGCGTAAAAATAGTGCGATAAATTAGGCACACACTTGGCAAACACCTACGACAACGCAAACAAGCTTATGAATAATATTATCACTCGCAAATTGTTTCAAATTTGAATATATTATTAACTAGATTTATCCGCTTGTTTTGTTTTTAGTAAAAATTAATTTTATTTTGTTTATTTGTAGATTTTTATCAATAATATTCGCAGTTTTATTTTAAGAAATGAAAAGAAATGCATTGTAGCGCCATCTGGAATACATTTGTTGAACTGCGGCGGTTAATCTTAATTTGATTGACATTTAACGCCATCTGGTGTTGATATTGGCCAAACTTTTTGTAGAACGATTTAATTTGTTAATTTTTGGACAAAATATTGTTTTATAATTAATAAAAAGTATCCTATGTCCTTCTTAATACTCTTGAACATATTTATACAAAATTTCATAATGATCTGTCAAGTAGTTTCCGAGTAAAATGAAAAAAACCAAACAAAGTCACTTCCGCATCAATATTTCTAATATTTCTTTAATTTTTATATTTCAGAGTTCAGTTTACGGCGTAGCATTCTCCGTCTCCGGCGAAAACGCCCTCCCATACTTAACAAATCGTGAATGTACCCTAGGAGGATACGACACACGTTTCGCCACATTTCACCCAATCGCCGGCGAGCCCTTAAAGGTCCTCCTGTACATTGCCACGCCCAAAAACCACCTCTGGTTGGGTGACGCCCCTGCCTCCGAAATCGCCCGTCAAATCTTCACCTCCAGCGGTGACAGCGGCCATAATGTCGAATACCTCGTCCGATTGGCCAATTTCATGCGTCATCACTTCCCAGACGCCAGCGATTCGCACCTATTCAACATCGAAGAACACATTCTGCATTTGGCGAAAATCAAACAAGTCGACGTTGCACCTCTAATGGGAAGTGGAGAGGGTTGCATAACATACGCGAAACCGAACGGTTTCAGTCGCCAGGCTCCCGCACCTGCCGCCAGAGGTCGTGACAGGGAGGAACGTGAAGAGAACCGTGACACTTTCCAATTCACCGCGCGCGTGCCCGAGAAATCACTGCGTTGTCTTAATATTTAAGATAATGTTAATCAAGGACATGAACTGACACGATTGTGATATATAGATATTTTTGATATTCAAGACTGTGATTTGTAAGGTAACTTCGAGATTATGTGGTGAGGTTCATTCATTCGGTGATGTTATACTAGCGCCATCTGTCACACAATACTCATATTATACACATTACTGTATATCTAAGCAGTATACTTTTGTAAATAAAACCATATACGATTATAAATTAAAATGGCGCACATTTTATTTCATGTATTGAAGGTTGCTTACTTATTCTGCAGGTGTGTTTAATAATAAAACTGATTATACGCAGCTTGCTGTTGGGCAGCAAACAATTTTCGTTGTTGACGCGGTGCATTGAAACGCGTAGCGGTTGCAACCCGCTGAACTGGTGTAATTGGCACAGGCGCTGTGGGCGTGGCTTCCTTTGGATGATTCACCACGCCTTCGAAGACAATATTACGATTGCTCATTTTGTATATGAAAAACACAAATGGATGATTAGCAATGACATGTGGCGATGATGAACCCATCAAGGGGATGACCACGGCTGTTGTGGCAGCTGCAGCAATTGTACCCTGTTCATTAACCTCAATTTTTGTCTTGTGGACGATATTATCAATGCGCACGCGTTCATTTTGCACCATATTCGATAAATCAGCATTTTCACCGAAGATTTCCCTTATTTCCAACTAAAAACAAACAAATTTAAGTTTAAAACAATAAAAGAGTACTGCATACTTGGTTGCATACCTTCTGTAGAATATTCTTCAATTGCACGTTGAAATCAATGTCAAACTTGGGAATCTCATAAGTAATCTCAGTTTTCTCAAGTTTATCAACGATTGTATTGAATGTTACGTGTTGCAAGTCCAACAACATGGCTGAAGTGCTGTGTTTCACCTGTGGCAGCAACACCAACATGGCGTAATCATCCGTGTATGGAATTTCGATGGCATGCGCGTTAATTTCGCTGAGCATCTTGTAACGCAAGTCCGCGGTACGCTGCATCATGTTCACGTGCATGCATTGACCATTGGACAAGGTGAAACACTTGACCGTCGTCGCTGCTGGGTCAAAGGCGTATTTCCAACTGCTTTTGAAGTACATTGCATTGGTTAGCAACACTGATGCATCCCTATTGATATTTTCTACAAAAAAAGCATTTAAGGGTTTAAATTTGAGGTTATGGTGATGAGGTTATGTACCTGGGCCTACAATGGTAGGAATCAACCCTCTTGTAGTGGATGCCACCCATTGGTTGATTGTATTCACACTTTGCGGTACATTATCGTAGTTTAGAGGTGAGATTAACGCTTTGTAGAATTGTTGCATAACTTGCTGGAATTGATTCTTGACTTTTAACTTATCAGAGATAAAAATGCCATTGGCGGAGACTAACTGGGTGTAACCATTTTGTTCCTAAGTTAAAAATACAAATCATATTAAATATATAACAAAATGGCGTCTGTAAAAGCATAAAAACTTACAGAAATATCATAAAGTAATTGTTTGAGTTGATCTCTGACATATTGCTGTTCCAATGGGATTCTCAACAAATTAGCGATTTCCGAAGCTGATTTACCTTTGGCACTTTCCAAAATCATCCCCAAAGTGGCTTTAATACTCGCAGGAGACACGAAAATATTCTCATTCGGTGATTGTTGTGACAACGCCTGTAAAACACAAGAAAACATTATGTTTTTCTTAGGTATGCAACCAAATATACAGGAATATTACCGCTAACAACTCCAAATCGAAGTAATTGAAGCGTTTCGCGACGGATTCATCACCAGGAGCTTGTGGAAGTTGAAATTGTTGATCAACTGCTCCACCATATTGTTGTTGAGGAAGTGGTGAGTATTGTTGCTGGTCAGGAAACACCGCCGCAGCTGGTTTGGTCGCCTGCGCTGCGAAACCAAACAAAATCAAGCACAACTCAATTCTAGCCATCGCGTGCTGTAAACTGCGAATGGAGACACACTGCGACACACTGCGACACACTGGTCACTCAAGTCCGACCGAAATCGGAAGCTGGTTTTCCCACCGATAACTATGTGTCATCAATGGCGGCGGTCACAACAAATGACAACAATTGGACGATCAAAACAAAGTGTGTATCAAAAATGCGTTGATGAGTGCATTCACATTCACACACTTGCTTCGAATATGAATATTTTGTGTTTTGCATGTGTGTGCTAATGGGAATTCCCAAACGATTGAGCAAAACCGGTTCCTGTATTATTATTACATTACTTTACATTATACTACACAGAGACTGACTTAATATTGCGACAGGAAATATTTATTTCATTGTTATTACAACCTCCACCAGAATTCTATCAACTAGTATTAATATATTTACTTACTTGCTACTGGTTGGGGAATTTCACCATCGCCATAACGCGGTGGGAGCTGCGCAGGCGCAATAGGCGCGACGCCATCTTGCGGATTGATTACTTTACCAAGGAAGAGAATTGTGCGTGCGTTGTTGTCTTCAATATAGAAGAGGAATGGATGTGTGGCGTTGAACATGACTTGCGCATCGCCAAATTTATTTGTTAATTGAATATCTATAATTAAACATTGATAAAACATGTTTAAATAAAACATATTAAAGTAAAACATACCTGAAGCAGCGAATGCAGTGCTGCCCTCTTCATTAACCTCAATTCCAGCCTTTTGAATGACATCTGACACTTGTAACTTGAATTCACCGCCTCGGACGATTCCGGGGAGACTCGCCGATGAATCAAACATGGCACGAAGTCCCATCTATAGGTTATGTACTTATTATAATGTAAAACATAATATAACCTATAATATTTTACCTTTTTCAATGTATCAGACATTCTAGCTTTGAAATCGAACTTAAACTTTGGCAAAACTAAATCAACATTGCGTTTATCCATATAGTTGACTTCCTGTTGTAGTTTTATAACATTTATGCGTTCTAGAAGATAATTGAGACCAGCTTTAGCGTTCGGCAGGATAATAATCATAGAAAACTTCTTTCCCTGTACACAAAATACATTTTAAGGTTAAATAGTTCAAAAATAAGGTTATGTTGTGTTACCTTGAATGGAATACGTATAATTTTTGAATCAAGTGTTTCCGATTCAACATAATAGTACCATTCGGTTGTAGCCATGAAGGGAACTTGCACAGCTTGTCCCGGAGCCAAATAAAAGCCTCCAATGTGCGATTTTTCCTTAGGGAATTGATGACTCCAATAACCACGGAAATATAAAGCATTGACCAATAACATAACAGCATTGGTGACATCTCCCGGGTCAGTCAACTTGGAAATCTTTCCTTGTGTAATACGATTGACATAGTTGTTGATTGTCATGCTTGTTTTATCAGGGTTTGAAAAATTCGCGCTGACGATACGAGTCTGGTACTTTTCGCAGGCTTTCACTTCGAATGCTTGTATAGCATGGACATTTTGATCAAGATAAATCTGTGTGCCAAGATTAAGAGTGTATTGTTGTTGAGGTGTTGGAATTTGCGCACGCGCTGTTTTAATTGCAGCACGAGCTTGATATTGGTTCGTGTTTTGATTCACACAAGATGGCCGTTTACCGTTGGTGAGCGACAGTAAAATATTCGAATATTCCTGTCGTACTTCCGATTGATTTTTGAATTGTAAAACATCGTGGAGTTCATTCTCTGTAATTCCACCTGCACCCTCATAGAGTAAAGCCAGGATTAGTTTTAAACTAATTGGAGAAATAATTGTATTTCCTTTGGAAGTTTTGGATAATTCCTATAGGAGTTAATATAGTTTAATATAGGCAACCAAATATGCAGATGTGTAATACCTGAAGTAACTGCCAGTCGAAATCATCGCGCAGACCGGAGTGTGATGATGGAATGTATTCGTCCTCGTCGATTTGCGGTTGAATAGCAGTGCTCGCCGAATTTGCCAAACCGCAAAACAAACAAACCGTCAGTATACAACCTGAAATCAATAAATTTTACAACTTTTTGATTCAAAACCACAAACGCGTCACCATTTTGTTTTAAAAAACAAAGATTACTACATATATTTATTTAATTTGTAGTTTTTAGTTGTTTTGACACTTACCAATCGCATTTCTAGACATTTTACGTCCGCACAGCGCCAACAAAGAAGAATAAATGAAGTCAATCGTAGTGTGACCGGGGACGCGCGCGCGGATTGTCGGATTGACCCGCTGATAGCTCTCGTCTAAGGTCACCGAGCAAGTTTTTCGGTAATTAAAAACAACACTTAACGAAGCCAAACACAAAAATCACACACACACACACACACACTAGCACATGATATAAAAATTCAAAACGCACTAAATTCACTTTAAGGCAACATGGCGTTCGTGCACTGCGGGCAAGAAACAAATTAAAACCGATTGCGAGTATCAATAAAACAAGTTTCGTGTTCGATGTTTGTTTTTAGATGTGTTTAACGGAACAAAGAGACAATTCGCGACTGAAAACCGGCTTCTGGTCGTGGCTGATGCTATGTGAAGTTAAATCGTCCGAAACCGGACGATGAATGCGCGGACGATGGACCGACCGGCGAATCATATCTCACTCGGCTCCACCGGGGCCGAAGGAATCAACGTTGTGGTGACGTCACAACGCTGGGGAAATCCTGACCTTGATTGAGCGCATTATTCCGCGGTTTTGTTTGTGTTTTTACGCCGCTGGCAGCGGTGCCCGTGGTGCCGCTTCGATGATTCGATACGCTTCGCGTTACCATCAATTAGGAGTTGAAAGGCATCAAAATGCAAATTGAGTTTGCCATATTAGAAGATATAACTTATTAAAACCGCATCATCTTGACGCAAAGTTATGATTTAACGAGTTTTATCAAGTCGGCCATTTGCAAATTTAATTTCTGTGTAATTTAAACGTAAAAACACCTAATTTACACTAGTTTACAACTTATTAGGACGTAATTTGACTTAAAACATGTTTTTATTAAAGATTTGAATTGATTTGATTAAGAAATAGTGGAATTTCAGTTAAAAACTGATAAAAAATGGCGGATATCGCTTTAAAACATAAACAAACTTATAAAAATTACAATATAACCTAAGTTTCCTTGGAATTGCCATAAAACAAAGAAACAATCAAGTTAAAACAGATTATTGGTACAAGGATATTAAACAAATAATAATTCGTAGTAATCGATGTCTTTTGTAGTTTCCGACAGCTCAGACACGTTCTGAATAATTATTCCAATAACGTAATTGGCGATAATTGCCACATAAAACATGTTTAAAGCTGTAGAGATTATTCATGAATACCATATGACACACTTCCAGCCGTAAATAAGTTGATTGTTAATCCAAACACGATAAAAAATTGGAAACTAATATGAATGTACGATGTAAATCACAATTTTTTGGTGTTAGGCAACCCAACATACAGAAATAAATACAGGGTGTAATTATAAAATCAAAATATTAAATTATGAAGTAATACTTCTTGGGAAAATAATTTTAGTTGTAAAATGTGTTAGTATAATTAATTACGTTGTTTATTTAGTGATACTATAAATTTTTGCGTGTTTAGTGGTTAAGCTAATGTTATTAGTCTTTTTTCAACGAAACTGTGGTTTGTTTAGTCATTAAGTTATCAAACACAAGATAACCGTAAACAATTAATACTAGTGCACACAGTTTTATAGTTTATTGTGTGTAATCTATTTTGTTACTTCTTCAAATTTTAAAGTTCAAGGTTACTTTGCATTGTCATGTCTACCAACCTAAAAATAACATTTTAGTGACTCCACAGATGTTTCTCAATGACAGCTTTGACAGTATCTTCAGCAGCAGGCAGCACAAACTTCACCAACTCTACAAGATCCACCACAACCGCTCGCAGATTGTTTTACGTGTCCGGTCGCGAATGCCGCGGACGCCAGCGAAGTTTATGAATTAGCGCGCCTAGCATGTTGCATTCCATCTCCGGCACGATGACACACAACTCGTACAACAAGAACCACGATAAGGAAAAGGGAGCTGGTGCTCCGCTGGACCAGGAGTATCCGATCGGCATGGACGGAGTGTTTTTCGCCGCTGACTTTCGCAGGTAACACCAAAAAACATGCATTTTAAATTCAATATTAACATGTTTAATCAATAGAAATGAAGACCTTAAAGAGATGCTTGACTCGAACAAAGATAATCTGAAACTGGAGGCTATGAAAAGAATCATTGGGGTAAATATATTAAATTTTTAAAATAAAATAAAATAAAATTGTTGTATATTGTTTTTAGATGATTGCAAAAGGTAGAGATGCATCTGCACTATTCCCAGCAGTTGTAAAAAACGTAGTTTCTAAGAATATTGAGCTTAAAAAACTGGTGTACTCATATCTTGAAAGATATGCAGAAGAAAAAGAAGATTTAGCCCTGTTGAGTATATCAACCTTTCAAAGAGCTTTAAAAGAACCTAATCAATTAATCCGCGCGGGTTCGTTGCGCGTTTTATCCGGGATTAGAGTCCCTATGATTGCTCCTATTGTGATGATTGCAATCAGGGATGCATCTGCTGATATGTCACCTTATGTGCGGAAAACTGCGGCTCATGCTATACCAAAATTATACAGGTAGATTTAAATTTAATATTTCTATATAAAAAATAAATATTTGTGTTTTAACAGTTTGGATCCTGAAATCAAACCAGAACTGGTCGTAATTATCGAAAAACTACTCGCGGATCGCACCGTGCTTGTCCTCGGCTCCGCAGTGATGGCCTTTACAAAAGTCTGCCCGGAACGAGTTGACCTTATTCATCTGGTCTATCGCAAGCTATGTGCCTTACTCGGCGACGTCGACGAATGGGGTCAGGTGATAATTGTGCAAGTATTAACCCACTATGCGCGCACACAGTTCACCAACCCATGCCTCAACGATAAAGACGAAGAAGACAAAGCTTTCTACGATTCATCCTCGGATTCCGAAGAGAAACCACCGCAACCATCTCTAGATCCAGATCATCGTTTATTGCTGCGTTCAGCACGACCATTACTACAATCTCGAAACGCTGCTGTAGTGATGGCCGTAGCGCAGATGTATCACCACATCGGCCCGAAACATGAAACCATGCCAGCTGTCAAAGCGTTAGTAAGACTATTGCGATCCAACACTGAAGTACAAGAATTAGTCTTGAAGAGCATCGTGACAATGACGCTGAGTAAAAAAGGAGCGTTTGATGTTTACCTCAAGAGTTTCTTCATACGCACGACTGATTCGACGCGTATTAAACTCTTAAAGTTGACGGTGTTGACGAATATTGCCACCGAGGGTAACATATCGACGATCCTGAGAGAACTCGAGACTTACATCTCGAATTACGATGATAATTTCGTCGCGGCGACTATTCAGGCCATTGGACGGTGTGCTTGCTACATTACTGCGGTGACTGACACGTGCCTTAGTGGATTAGTTACTTTGCTCTCTAATAAAAATGGTTTGTAGTTGTAAAACAACCAATAATCAAAGTTTAATAATTAAATTTAATATTTACAGAAGTTGTCGTTGCTGAAAGTGTAGTCGTTATAAAACGCCTGCTGCAGACCCAAGCAGCAAACCCAACTGAAATAATTAAACAGATGATTCGTCTGTTGGACAATATCGAAGTACCGCAGGCGCGTGCTTCTATTATTTGGTTACTCGGTGAGCACTGTCGAGATATCCCAATGGCGTCGAATGTGTTAAAGAAAGCGACGAAAACCTTCGCAAATGAACAAGATATTGTTAAGCTGCAAGTGTTGAATCTGGCGGTGAAGCTACACATTCATAACAAAGAGCAGTACGCGTTGATTTGTCAGTATATCTTCAACTTGGCGCGGTATGACCAAAGTTATGATATTCGTGATCGTACACGTTTGCTACGAAATTTCATCGACAATCCGGATAATATTCTGATTGCGAACGCGGCGAGGATTTTTCTCGCGACGAAACCAGCGCCAACGATACGAAACACTGAAGGTGGGTTAAAAATTAATAATAATAATAATAATATAAAACACTTTATGGTGATTATTTTTTAATTGTTTTAGATACTGAACAATATCAACTGGGATCGTTATCGCACTCGATAAATCAGAAAGCTGCTGGTTATGAACCGCTTCCTGATTGGCCCGAAGTTGCACCGCCAGGTGACGTGCGTAATGTTGCACCGCAAGTTGACGAAAGGCCTAGGAATACTCGACAGGATAATGGTGAGCAAGATAATGGTAACTATGATTCATGGAGTTCGGAAGAGTCTTCATCTACTGAAGGTAGTTATACCGAAGACGATGCTGTTGAGAATAGTAACGAAGAAGACGAGGATAATAATGAAGATGAAGAAGAAAGCACGAGTGAAGGATCAACATCCACGTAAGTAAACATTTTACAAAATAAAATTTATTTTATTAAACAAATTGACACATAGGTCTGAGTCTGAATCGGAAGAGTCTTCATCAGTTTCGGAAGACGAAGATGATGATGATGACGATGAAAGTGAATTGGAGACAATTGTTCCCAAAGTAACCAAGAAGGAGCCACCGCCTCCGAAAGAAAAAGACAAACGAAAACCACCCACGAATGATAAACAACAAACTAACGCAAGTAAGAGTAATTTAGAGTTACTCTTGGATCTGGAACCTGCTGAAGGCACCTATGCACCTGTTATGACCCCTTCTCTGGGAGGGTTTCTCACGCCAATGGATAACTCGACCACCAGCGCTAGTCACAGCAAGCCGGACATTCAGGTGATTCCTCCAGTTGAGTACTCACATACAAGTCATGAAGTTCTCAATAAAATCAACGGGAAAGGATTGAGTATTTCGTATAGATTCACGCGGAATCCACATTTGTTCTCGGCGTCGATGGTTAATATCAATTTAAGTTTCACGAACAATACCAATGAGGAAGTTATGGATGTTCGAATAGGACAGAAAGTAAGTTTTTGGTTTTTTATTTGTTTGTTAAGTTTATAATTTGTTGTTGTTTTTATAGACGTTATCACCTGGTATGTCCATTCATGAGTTTGCGTCGATAGCAACTCTACCACCCAAATGCACCCTGCCAGGAACTCTGGGCATCGACTTCAATGACTCCCTACACGCTGCCAATCTGGAAATTGTTTCATCTTTAGGCACTAGCGCTATCTGTATCAAAGCAGACGTCGGGGAATTACTGCGGCCTGTCGTAATGGCTGAAGAAGTCTTCCTGCGTCACCAGGCGAAGCTGAAGGGGATGAACGAGCACTGCGATGTTGTGCCTCATCATTCTGCCAAGACTAACAAACAGACCGTGTGTCAAACTGCGAATTTAGGCGTTATTGAAACCGCCGACGCCAATATTTTAAGATTTGCTGGCCAGACTTTAACGTCGTCGTCATTGGTGTTGATTACTGCAGTGATTGCCGATGAGAAAGTGGCGATTACTGTCAATTGTGAGAAGATGGTCATTGGATCGATGCTTCTCAACAAGTTGAAACAAGCGCTATGTTAATTTTATATGAATATTCGTGTTGAAAGTGTTCCGGCACTGTTTTGTCCACTGCATTCCCTAAAACAACACATTCAACCATCTTATATTATGCTTTGAATGTAAATGAATGTAAAAAATGTTTTATTTGACTTTAGTAGAGTTATTGTATGTTATATGTTAAAGATTGGACGGTCCTGGTTTATTTTTGTACGCACACCGAATCAAATTTCAACTTTTAACACACTGACACACGTATTACATGAATAGTGGCGTCGAGTGAGTGGCAGTATACCAGTCGAGGGTGCAAAATGGTGGCAAATTTTGCAAGTGCTTTTATATCAATTTGATTATTATTAATATATACAAATAAATAAAAGATATATGTTATAAAGTGTGTATTTTGTTTAAATTTTCATTAACATATGATTTTGGTACCATTTCAAAATATTTAAGGTCATGTAAAGTAAAAAAAAACAAATTCAGTATTTTTTTGTCCCACCTTTTACACAAGATATCTAATTCTATTTTTGTGTTTACCAAGTGGGGTTTTGCTTGTACAACGTTGGAAGACCTAACCTCAGTTCGATTATTATTGGTTGAGGTATGAAAGCGTTATTGGGACTGCAACCAAGATATAAAGAAGATCGGGAATGAATCAATGATGCGGTGTGGTACAAGAAATTGTCTTCAAAAAATTAACTGTAAGTACTACCTGATTAATCAAACCTAATGTCCCATCAAATTAATTCAAATATCTTTGTGTTTCCAAGGACTAATTTAGACTTGTTTTAGGGATTTTGCACCTGAGTCTGACATCGTAGAAGGACCATTCTTGCATCAGATTGTGGGTATTAAATTTCTTTATCATTTTCCTAATTAAATTTCTTTATTATCTCACAAATTGACTCACAAATTTGCATTTATATGAAGTAGATTGACAAATTTTTATTTGTTTTAGGGATTTGTACCTGAGTCTGACATCGTAGAAGGACCATTCTTGCATCAGATTGTGGGTATTTAATTTCTTTATAATTTTCCTAAATAAATTTTGTGATTATCTCACAAATTGACCCACAAATTTGCATTTTTATGAAGTAGAATGACTAATTTTTGTTTGTTTTAGGAATTTTGCACCTGAGTCTGACATGGTAGAAGGATCATTCTTGCATCAGATTGTAAGTATTAAATTTCTTTATCATTTTCCTAAATAAATTTTGTTATTATCTCGCAAATTGACCCCCAAAATTGCATTTTTATGTTAGGAGGACTACTTTTTGCTGCTTTTATGGATTTTGCACCTGAGTCTGACATTGTAGAAAGACAATTCTTCCGTCAGATTGTAAGTATTAAATTTTTTTATCATTTACCTAATTAAATTTTGTTATTATCTCGCAAATTGACCCTCAAAATTGCATTTTTGTGTTCGAAGGACTAATTTTTGCTGTTTTTATGGATTTTGCACCCGAAAGGACACAGTAGAAATCCATCCATTCTTCCGTCAAATAATATATTAAATTTTTTTTATCATTTACCCAACAACTTTGGTTATTATCTCAAATTGACCGGGCCAGACATTTTTGTGTTCGAAGAACTAATTTTTGCTGGTTTTTAGGGACTTCACACCTGAGCTCGACAATTGAAGGACCATTCTTGCATCAGATTTCAATAAGTACTAATTTCCTTTTTATCATTTTCCTAAATAATTGTGATAATCTCACGTAAATTGACCCCTTATAATTGCATTTTATGTTCAAGAACCAATTTTTGTTGGTTTTAGGGATTTTGCACTGAGTCTGACATCGCACGAGGACCATTCTTGCATCAGATTGTAGGTACCACTTTTATCATTTTCCTCTAAATAACTTTTAGATAATCTCACAAATTGACCCCTAAAATTGCATTTTATGTTCGAGGGACCAATTTTGTTATGGTTTTAGGATTTTACACCTGGAGTCTGACACATCGTAGTAGTTTAATCCATTCTTTATGCTTGTGTGTTTTCTTTAATAAAGATTATTTTTTAAGTATTTCTAATTATAATTATTTCTGCTATTTCTACCTGATCACATATATACTAACGATCCCCATTTTGCAATTACTTACCATTTATTTCAGTGCATGCTAGTTATCTATCAATTAGAAACTACAACAGCCAAAAGTTTGAGTCAACCCCGTCGCCACCAGAGGGCAGCACATTGTAATTTAATACTCCGCCATACTAGTTACCCCCAAAATCCTTATCAGTTTTCAACTTCTGCGATCCTAATACCCTAATCTTTATTTTGTCGACCTGGGAGGCAAATGACACAAAAATTTGGACTCCGAAACAGTCGAAACTCAGGTTTGCATTCGGATCGCAGAAAGGGTGTGAGGAGGTAAGTAAATAAAAAGAGGCGGTAACACAATGGCGGGTAAAATGAATGTTTAAAAATCTTTATTCAGCAAAATTGGTTTTCGAATTCTGAAGGAGCCTGGCAACCAAGAGGGCTAGAAAATTAAGAACTACATAATCTGGGATCCTTTGAAAATTTCCTACAAAGTGGCATAGCATCATTATTGAAAAATCTCCAAAATGGCACACAAAAATTTTTAAAGAAAGATTTTATTAAAAAAAATGGCAAAAGATTTCTCTCTTTTTATGATGAAAATTAAAAGTTAGAATTTTAAACAAATTGAAATAATATATATAGTACTTATGGGAGAGCCTATGTCCACTTTCTGCGTTCCTACAGACTGATGAGCAGCAAATATTTCTAGCAATTTTCTGACACAAATTTTGTCGAGAAATCCATTGAAATTGGCCTTCACAAAATTCTTTTGAATATTAGATCGCAGAAAAGTAGGTTGAATCTATATTGAATAAGTATGTAGTTAATACTTCTCGTGGATAGATGACATCTAGTAATACCGTTTTTAAATTAATATTGATACAATATAAAAATTGATTTTGGAACTATTTCCCATATCTAGCAGCAGTGGCATTTCCATTAAAGTTTAAGGGATTTATGGATTACCTTAAAGGAGTAATGATGTGAAAGCTATGTTGCCGTTTGGAACAAATGTTCACAAAAATTTATAAAGTTAAATATATAAAACAACAATTTTATTCAAACATGTAGAATCACAAACTCAATTTCTCAGTATATATTGTTACTTTTAACAACAATAGAAGCATGAAAACAGGATAATAATATGCAATTAGATAATGCTCTTTTCATATACCTTTTAACAAAATACATAAAATGATATCAATATCAGCTTCAAAATGTTGTAAATTCACCGTATTTGAATCATCATCAACACCAATCCAATCTTCAATTTCTGGACACTATAAACCAGAATGAATAACAGAATAGTAAAAATAAAATGCTATAAATTGCCAAAATATAACATACATTCTTGGTGGCTTTATCTGTGCTAACATCCATCTTCAGAATCAGAACATCATCGTCAATACGCACTCCACCAGTACGACGGAACCTCCACTTGCTCCCATAAACTTGGGCATCTCAGGAATAGACAACAAGCTCATCCAACTGGAAAAATATTTATGTAAATGAAATATACATAAATTAAATTAATTATTCTTACAGGATCCATAAGGCATTTAGGCACCATGCGAACAGGTAGCGCGGTAAAGCGTAATTCCCATTCAAGGCGTAACTGTAAGCAATTTAGTGCAAGTATGGCGGCTGTCCCACGACATTGCGTTCGCCGGCTAAAACAAAAACACAAAATTAGCCGACCAACAAACACAAAAGCATTTTTATAGGTTTCCCCGGAGGGATAAACCCACAAATTATACATACATGAAAATTAAAAAGAATTTAAATAATAGTAGAATCTGATAACTCGAACCTTGTTAAGTCGTAACCTCAGTAACCTCGAAAAGATATGCTATTCCCTTCCGCTGAACCCCCGAACGACGCACTAACTCGAATTTTTTAGACTCAGTAACTCGAACAATAAGTTATTTCCCTGTGAGGCATTACTCGTACATTTTAATAATACTCAGTAACCGAAAATACCCTCAGTAAGTCGAAGTTCATAAAATTTATGATTTCTTTACTGAGATTCCCGGAGCTCAAAAACTCGATTCCCGGAGCTTAAAACTCGTGGCAATAAAATAAAAGGAATGTACCAGCTCGTGGGGCCCCTATCTATTGTTTTGTTTTGCACACGTGCAAGGAATGAAATTAGACCCACCAATAAACTTTCTAAATTTCTAAGAAACACAGATGTTATGTTTCTTCATGGTCACTTTTGGTTACTTGGCTCAATACATACATTATTTGGCTGTTAACAAGCAAACCAAATGAGTATAATACAGCAATTGATGTAAGACTACGAACTTACATTGAAAGATGTAATGTATATCGAGTATCATATATTCGCGCCCACCGAGATAGCATTGATAACACCTGTAAATGGCTTGAATCAAAACGAAGATAACAGATTTTTTATCAATTATTTAAAATATACAGTAAGTTCATTCATTATAATTATGTACTTGACTATTTCGTTACCTAATATAATTTATCATCGTAATAAATGTTCTATGAAATTGTGCCTTTTATGTCGAAATTCTGATGAGTTAACTCTTCATATCTCGAAGAGTCGAAAACTTGCTATATCTCGGAAATTTTTGCTTCCTGACATTCGAGTTACTGCATTCCCACCGGCCTATAATTTGCGAAAGAACGGTTATCCTACGACAAGGCGTTCGCCCATAAAACACTAAAACCAAAAAATTCACGACCAAAACACAAAGGGCATTTTTGTAGGTTTCTGATAAACCTACAAATTATACATGTAAATTATAAAGTTGAATTTAAATATCTATAATTTGGGTGAAAGAACGGTTATCCTATGACAAGCAGCGTTCGCCCGCTAAACACTAAAAACCAAAAATTCCCGACGACCAAAACACACAAAAGGGCATTTTGTAGGTTTCCTGGGATACACCCACAAATTATACATGAAATTTCAAAAAAGAACTTAAATATCTATAATTTGGTGAAAAGAACGGTTATCCTACGACAAGTATGTCGCCCGCTAAATACTAAAACCAAAAAATTCTATCGACCAAAAACACAAAGGGCATTTGGGTTTCCTTGATAAACCCACAAATTATACATGTAAATTATAAAGAATTTAAATATCTAATTTGGTGAAAGAACGGTTATCCTATGACAAGGCGTTCGCCCGCTAAACAATTAAAAACCAAAAAAAATTGACGACCAAAAAATCACACAAAAAGGCATTTTTGTAGGTTTCCTCTGGATACACCCACAAATTATACAAGAAAATTAAAAAGAATTTAAATATCTATAATTTGGTGAAAGAACGGCGAGTCCTAATGACAAGGCGTCTGCCAAATACTAAAACCAAAAATCGATCATCAAAAAAACAATAAAAGGGCATTTTGTAGGTTTCCTGGATAAACCCACAAATTATACACATGTAAATTATAAAGAATTTAAATATCTATAATTTGGTGAAAGAACGGTTATCTACGACAAGCGTTCGCCCAAGCAAACACTAAAAACCAAAATTGACGACCAAAACACAAAAGGGCATTTGTAGGTTTCAAAACCAAACAAATTATACATGAAAATTAAAAAGAATTTAAATATCTATAATTTGCGAAAGAACGGTTGGTCCTACGACAAGGCGTTCGCCCGCTAAACACTGGGAAAAACCAAAAAAATTCGACGACCAAAAACACAAAGGGCATTTTGTAGGTTTCCTGGGATGTAAACCCACAAATTATACACATGTAAATTATAAAGAATTTAAATATCTATAATTTGCGAAAGAACGTTATCCTACGACAAGGCGTTCGCCCGCTAAAACACTAAAAACCAAAAAAAATTCGACGACCAAAAACACAAAGGGCATTTTTGTAGGTTTCCCTGGGGATAACCTGGCACAAATTATACATGAAAATTAAAAAGAATTTAAATATCTATAATTTGGTGAAAAAGCGGTTGTCCCACCACATGACATTCGCCCGCTAAACACTAAAAACCAAAAAATTCGACGACCAAAAAACACAAAAAGGGCATTTTTGTAGGTTTCCCGGGGGATAAACCCACAAAGTATACATGAAAATTAAAAAGAATTTAAATATTCATAATTTGCGAAAAGCGAAGTCCCACCACATGACATTCGCCCGCTAAACCCTAAAACCAAAAAATTCGACCTAATCAAAAAATAAAAGGGCATTTTTAGCGTTTCCCGGGGATAAACCCACAAAGTATACATGAAATTAAAAGAATTTAAATATCTATATAATTTGGTGAAAGAACGGTTGTCCTGCGATGTAACGCGTTCGCCCGCTAAACAATTAAAATCCAAAATTCGACGACCAAAAACACAAAAGTAAGTATTTTTGTGGCTCTGGATACACCCACAAATTATACATGAAAATTAAAAAGAATTTAAATATCTATAATTTGGTGAAAGAACTGTTATCCTACGACAAGGCGCGTTCGCCCGCTAAAACACCAAAACCAAAAATTCGACGACCAAAAAAACACACAAACGGGCATTTTGTAGGTTTCCTGATAAACCCACAAATTATACATGTAAATTATAAAGAATTTAAATATCTATAATTTGGTGAAAGAACGGTTATCCATGACAAAGGCGTTCGCCCGCTAAAGACTAAAAACCAAAAAAAATCGACGACCAAAAACACAGGCATTTTTGTAGGTTTCCTGGGGATACACCCACAACTATACATGAAAATTAAAAAGAATTTAAATATCTGCAATTTGGTGAAAGAACGGTTATCCTACGACAACAAGGCGTTCGCCCGCTAAACACTAAAAACCAAAAAATTCGACGACCAAAACACACAAAAGGGCATTTTGTAGGTTTCCTGGGGATAAACCCACAAATTATACACATAAATTATAAAAGAATTTAAATATCTTATAATTATGAAAGAACGGTTATCCTACGACAAGGCGTTCGCCCACAACACCAAAACCAAAAAAATTCGACGACCAAAACACAAAAGGGCATTTTGTAGGTTTCCCGGGGATAAACCCACAAATTATGCCATGAAAAATTAAAAAGAATTTAACATCTATAATTTGGTGAAAAGCGGTTGTCCCACCACACATGACATTCGCCCGCTAAAACACTAAAAATCCACAAAATTCGACGACCAAAAAACACAGCATTTTTAGGTTTCCCTGATAAACCTACAAATTATACATATTAAGCAAATTATAAAGAATTTAAATATCTTATAATTTGCGAAAAGCGGTTGTCCCACCACATGACATCGCCCGCCAAACCCTAAAACCAAAAAAAATTCGGACGACCAAAAACACAAAGTGGCATTTTTGTGGTTTCCCGGGGATAAACCCACAAAGTACATGAAAAATTAAAAAAGAATTTAAATATCTATAATTTGGTGAAAGAACGGTTGTCCTGCGACATAACGCGTTCGCCCGCTAAAACACCAAAAATCCAACAAAATTCGACGACCAAAAACACAAAGGGCATTTTGTAGGTTTCCTGGGGATAAACCCACAAATTACACACATGTAAATTAAAAAGAATTGAAATGTCTATAATTTGGTGAAAGAACGGTTATCCTACGACAAGGCGTCGCCCGCCAAACACTAAAACCAAAAAATTCGACGACCAAAAACACAAAAGGGTATTTTAAGGTTTCCCGAGGATAAAACCCACAAATTACATGTAAACAAAAAGAATTGAAATGTCTATAATTTGCGAAAGAAGGGATATCCAAACGTGGCGTTCGCCCGCTAAACACTAAAAACCACAAAATTCGACGACCAAAAAACACAAAAAGGGCATTTCTGTAGGTTTCCCGAGGGATAAACCCACAAATTTTACGGAATTTTCTCGGAATAAAATTGAATTCTGGGTGATACAGAATTAAATTCCGCATCTGGAAAAATTATTCCAAACTTATTGTAGCACCGCGTTCGCGTATTGTACTAAAAAAAACTACAATTCCTAGCGCGCGCAACGTAAAATTGCGACGCACATATATCCGTTGGTTATAATCCGATATTGGTTAATACAGTAAACCGGCCACCGTATTAATTTTATATTTTATACAATATCTTTGTTTCCAAATCACTTGCATTTGCATTTGCATAACAATTCGCCGCGTTATCAATACGTTTGTCGGACTTGGCCCGAACAGATATTGTATAAAATATAAAATTAACCAATTGGCCGGTTTAGCCTTTAGCTGATTAGCCTGGCTAATTTCGGTTAACCGGCTAAGCCGAGTAGTCAGCCAGCTAATTAGCCTGGTTAACTTCCTTAACCGGCTTGGCCGGCTAATTTGTACAGCCCTACTTTCAATATAACTCGCGTTACGGAGCTTTCTCGAAATTAAATTTAAAACAGGGTGATACAGAATTAAATTCAGAATATTATTTTTAGATTTGGAAAGTCTGCATTTGATAAGAGTTTAAAATAATTTAATCACGTTCGATAAAAGGCCAGAAACGTGACTAAAAGAGCAATTTTTCTTTTTTTGCCTTTTCTTAATTGCGATTATTTCCTAATTGTGTCCGGCCGTGCCGGTCGTCTAATTTGAAATATAATTGAATTATAAACTTACCAGTGTACAGCTTATCGGACTGCCAGGCACACCGAGTGCTGTAACTAAACGAAAACAAATTAAAACAACAATATTTCATACAATTGAATTATGTTATAATTAACAATCAACACAAAATAAACAATCTGTGTTGTTTAGTTAAATAATACTTACACGAGCATGATGGATATTTCTTAATGATGAGGATCGACATGGTGCCGATATACATATTTACGATTAACTTAGTAACTGACATCAAACACAACGCCGAGTGAAGAATGTTATCAAATCCACTATCACGTGACTTGTAATACCTACATAACAAACGCGATCAAAAACCGGCATGTCCGAACATTAAACAAATTACTATAATCGCAAAGTACAAATAAACATTCGATTGATCTTCGAGTATAACACGAATAAACGATATAAGTCTCTCAAAACACAACTGGATTAACTAGCGACCGACACGAAACTGGCTGCAATCCACCGATTGTGCATGCCGAAACTGCGTAAACAACGACGGGACAGTACCTATATGATAAGAAAGTAAGAGGTGCGCAAAGACGACGCGTCGACGGCACGCGACATCGTGCGCGAATTTGCACATTACCTGTGATCTAAACTAAACTAGACTTCGCTGCATGCAGCAAGTTGATGCGGCGCTAGAAGACAGCGCGCGATAAAAATGCGATACATGCGATAAAAAAGTTGTTTACACCGAATCGCAGATAACAGCATTGTATACAAAATTATTCTCGTGCCCACGTTTGTCGATAAATGTAAAAATAAACCGTATAACTCGATTTTATGATTTTTAGTGCATTCTAGTGCCATCTATGAATGCGACAGATACAAGTCCCACCATTTACACTGTAATAATCAAGAATTAATCTTTCCACGTGTTGCCACTTTTGTATGCAGTTCATATTGTATATTATCATGTAGAACGTCTCTTAAACTAACATGGCCTTTAGAAACTCACAAAATGTGTATTAGTTCACAAGATACAGGCTGTTGTCTAAGCGAACTTTTTGAAATGTGAAAATAATGTCGATTTGTAAACCATTTTCAGGACACTTGTAGAAGGTTGAAGGGGTCTGGAAGATACGTAAGTTATTAAAGAACTCTTAAGTATCATATGAGCAAGATGTTGTGATTTACTCCATTGGTGCAAGATATATGGTGTGTTTTTCTCGTAACATTAACATAAACGTTAACGCTACCCTCGTACGGTGCCCTGAATGGGAGTCACTTCTACCGCTACCCTCGTACGGTGCTCTGAATGGGAGTCACTTCTACCGCTACGCTTTGTGAGCGTTATCCACATCAAATTTTCAATAAGTTGAAAAAGTAGCAATTTTTAAAGGACAAACTTGGTAGATAAAAACGAAATTTTGGGCTTTATTAGCGTAAAAAGCCAGGTATAGTATAAAAGGTCTCTGGAGCTCAAATCAAAGATTTATTAATTAACCTAGTATTAAAAAATTCAAAAACAAACAATATATCAATAACATTTCAAAGATTAGTTTTCGAGGTCAGCAAAAATGCCATTAACATCCGCAATAAATTGCTCATTGGTATAGTTCGGATTGTTGGTCAAATCATAAGAACTCTCAATTTTCGGTTCAACGAGTACATCCCCATTATTTTCCGCATAATTATTTAAAAAACTCATAAAATCCTCATTTTTGATATCCTCCACTTTAATATCAGGAAATCCACCAGACCACCCACTCAAAAACGGATCATTTGCAATATTATCTTTAAAATCTTCTTCTTCCATCGGTAATTCATCTAAATTCGACTCATCTGCCTCTTCTTTCTTCACCGGTTCAGGTTCAACCACAGGTTCAGGTTCTGGTATCAACCTAGTAAAAGGATTACTATTCAAAATCAATTTAAGTTCATCAACAAAGGCCATAAACCCAATAGTGTCACATTCCTCAGCAGACTGTTCTGATTCCTGTTCTTTTGATGTGGAAGCAGAAGCCCTTTGAAGATCATTGCGAATATCTTCAAGTTTACTCAGATTATTCAGATTATACGACAATGGTCGCTTCCTATCATCACTACGCCTCTTACTCCTACGATTCTCCTTATCCTTATCCTTATCTTTATTACCCAAAGAATTCTTTTCATCCTCTAGTCTGGTAAAAGCATCATGAGCGTTTTTATACATGGAAATGGAGTATTCCAGAACCTGCTTCAATTTCTCTTCGTAAACATCAAAATCAGTGTTGGGATTAGCCAAGCATGGATTGAATGCATTCGCCAACGACTCCATATCTTCCTCGGTAGCTGTCACAGCTTTTGTTGTAGCAGAATACTCATCACTAAAAGTGTTATCATTGACAAGACCCAGACACTTTTCTTGTATCTCCTTCAAATCATCCAGGACAGAATCCTGCGTAATATTAATACGTGCCATATTATCCTGAAGAGTATTAAAACTGGCATTGATCTCCATCTCTTTGGTATGCAGGTTACCCATTTGCTCAGTGAGCATATCCCCATAATATGCAGGGAAGATCATCATATCAGTCTCTGTACCAATGGTTTTTCACGTTTGTTTACTTTAGTCTTTTCTGTGGTACTTTCAAGCATAATCTTCAAATGTCCCAATTTGGCTATGATGTGCAAATCGGCTGATTGTGGTTTCTCACAATTACGCCATTGGACGTCCCGATTGAAACCATTGGAGACTATGCGTGCTATTTCTTTATAATTTGTGCGATCCACAGAAAGATCATTGTTATGATACTGGGCGATCCATTGTGGAGCAGCAAATTGAACCTCCAATACAAAAGGGATCCAGTTGTTATCGTAGAAGATTTGCATCAGGAATCGAATAAAATCAGTGAAAATCTCCATGCGGATCTCCACGGCCATGGCACGAGTGTTAAACTGAAGCAGATAAATTGCCTTGGATGGCGGATTGAAATACGCAAAGAAATGCTTTGGGATTTCAAATTGGATTTGTTTATGCGCTGCGGTCAAACCACTAAAAGTGACGAAATAAGGAGGTGGTGAACGTAGATTGGAGCTTGGAGTGGTTGTAGTCGGTGGTAGGGCTGGGATAGTTGCAGGTGCTTGACGAGGTGCTACAATGTAGGTTCCTGCAGTTCCTGGGGTCATGTTATTATTGCGTGCATTTCTAGCAGCTTGTTGAATTGGTGGGCCTGTAGCTCCCGGGATAGTAAGCACAATTGGTGCCGGTGTTGTAGTATTGACATTTGTCATATTTTGATTTCGGGAATTACGTCTTCCTGGCGTGGATTGGGTTGATCCCATAAACACATTGGAAGTTGAAGGATTCCATTGGGTTGTAGTCGTAGATGGTGTAGGATTGCCAGTGCTAAAGTCCATCATGTCGACCGATTGGATTATTGAGTCATTGCCGACTAAAATCACATCCAAATTTGGCATGGAGGCATCCATGGATTGGGAAAAACCAGCAGCTGCTTGATTCTGTTGGTTCATCTTGAAAGTCAAAGTGGATGTAGGTAAATGTCAAAATTCTGTCTGCAAAAATGATAAAAATAACCTATAAGGAATTAAAATTATAAATTAAATAATATTTAATCGTATTATTGATGTTTTACACTAACCGGAAGATATTGTAGATTAATTGATTGAATTTATTGATTGATTGATTGATAATGGATTGTTTTGAGTGAAAATTCTAAGAAAATTATTAGTACGTACTCACGGTGCACTGATTTCAGAGAGAATGATCGAGATTCAGCAAACAATCAACCACAATGTCTCGGTATATTGTTGAGTAACCATGGTTACTGCTCTGAAACAATTGATACCAGTTACTGTTACAGGTAAGATATGTTATGAATAGAGGTCTGAACTTTGTACTCTGTAATCAAACTTCTAACATTCACCGATAGATGTGCTTAGATGTCAAAAATGAAAGAAAAAAACATCAAAAACGTTCTTATGCAATAAAAAATCACAAATTACTCAAAAACTATAACTTATACAATAAAAGTAAGAACAGAAAAGCGTTCCACATTAAAATATGCAGTTAGTCTGTAAAAATAGAGGAAATTCTACCAATAAACAAGTTATTAATCAATAAACAAAAATGTTTGTTAATTTTGTTCCTAAATTCATCAATAACTAATTTAAAATAACATTAATCAGTGAATAAATAACAAAATAAAACGCAGAATTTATTCCCAATCCCAACACTAAAAAAAAATCCCTCTACCTCATTTACTTTCCACATAATTAACAAATAACTAAAAACCAAATCATTTAACATTCCTCCACAGCCATTCCCAGATTTAAAACTCTGCGCACACATCAATAAAAACCGAATTAATTGAATAATAGAACAAGACTGAAGTTGTGTGCCTCTGCGGCTGCCGTAAATTGCCTTTCAGGCTTTCAACTCACAATTCTTCACTCACACTCACCCACTCTCCCTCCTGCACTCCACACACGCCTGCCGGTGCTTCCTCCTCGTCCTCCTCAAACCATAGCGAACAAAATGGAGTGTTAAATTATGCACACCCCCACCGTAAATCTCCTAGGCTCCACCTCATCGTCCCCAAAACGGGGCACCAATAGCACAACCATCAGGAGGCGGTCGCAAGACATTTCTGAGTCCTGCGCGTACGTAATCCATAACTCTCGCACATGCGGACGCATGAAACTCACGACTCACGACTTTCGGGCATGATCCCGGCGGGTGCGGATTGTGAATCGCATTTTGGATTATCGCAATCAGCTGCGGTGTTGTTTACTGTGTGAATTTACAATATTTAGAATGTGTATTATGTGGATAAGTGCAAAAAGTGATTTATGCATAATGTAGATATATACAGAGTGATAAAAATAGGATAAACTGAAAAATTTTGGATAATATGGTCCGATGGCAGCGTGGATAGGCAAACTGCTACGCAAATCCAGGTAAATTAATTTTTTTAATTTTTTATCCGAAAAAAATTAATTAATATGCATGAAGTGTTAATAAGCCCCGCCCATTAAGATAATATGATGATATCGCTTTGGAATTGACTTAATAGAGTTTATTATGCACCCTTTGAGGACTGAAAGCTGTGCCCTGTGTTTTTGAAGTTTTGAATTCGAAATTGTTTTGTGTTTTGTGTGAGTTTGTGTGTGTGAAGGAAAGCAATTAACGCGAAATGATAAATGATGTGCCCATGCCGGCACAACCCTACAGTTTATTCGGGGTAAATGAGGAAAGAGTCAGCTGTGTGTTGAGGGTAATCGAATTTTTGGATTGCTTTGTATTGGGTTGTATTGTATTGTATTGTATTACTGGGTGCAATTGGTTGGCTTTTCTTGAAATTACAGTCATTGAGCGCGGCTGGAAATGCAACCGTTTGTAATTTGAATTGTCCGAGTGTGTAAACGACGCGCACACGCGATCCTAATCACATTGGGACATTAGCTTGAGTTTAAGATTGATATAAAGTTATTTTTGTTCTTTTAATGATCATGTTTTATAAGTTTTTTTTTTTTGATATTTTCAATTGTAAATGATAAAGATACTTATGGAGTATTAAATTATGTTTATGGAATTAAAATTTATTTATTTGTTTATGAGATATTGATTGTTTTATCTAAAAAAAAATTGAAAATTTGAAAAAAAACTGGTAATTTTACTCGAAATATTTCATTTTTGGTTAAATCTTAAATAATTAATCAATATTATAACAATGTGCCCAAAGTTTTAGCCGAAAATCTAATTATTATTTAAATTATTTCTAAACTCAATCATTGATTGACCTTTTTCTCTAAAAACGATATTGTTAATTCACATGCGAATAAGTTGAGTATTTTTCAATACAATTTATTGCTATCACTGTACAATTTAAAATATAATTGAAAGTAATTACCATTAGAGTAACTCATTTAGTCTACTATCAAATACCGTTTTCAGAATTTAAATTGAGTAATTTGTTTATGAGTTAAAAAAAGTTTTCTAAAACAACTGTAAAAACATTAATTTTCTGTAATGAAATACCTTTTAAGTAATTGAAAGAAACATTAATTTTATAAAATTTTAACGTTTTTACCACGTTGTTACTTTTAATCAGAGCTATTCTTATGCTATTTTCTGTTTTCTTCATAAATATCAGCAGAAATGTTAATGATAATAGTAAATACCAAATTCTATTGTAAGTTTTACTAAATGTCATGTTTAATTAAGGTTTTGTCCCAATGTTTCTAAAATTGCACATGAAGTAGAAAGATGTTTTGCATATTTTTGAAAAATGCAAATTATTTTGCAAGTAAAAGATTTACAAAGATCAAAATTGCTAATTTTTGTTAAAAGAACTTTTAAGGTATCAAAATCTGTTTAAAAAATTAAAATAAAACTATTCATTCATGAGTTCCAGATTGTTTTATCCGAATAAAACATTTTACCTTAAATTTTACCAACTTTTCGCTAATTTCAACCCAAAATAATTTAGAAAATCAGTTTAACAACGATTTTAATAAATAACCACATTATTAAAACCTACAATCAACCGCAGATTGCAGAAGAACCATAAAAACTACAGCAGATAAATAAAAATCTGTAATATTTATTCTAAATTCAATTTTTCATACCTTGTTCTTCCTCTATTTCCAGATATGCCTCGGCCGTCGCGAGAGTCGTACGGAGACCAGAAGCCGCCGTACTCGTACATCTCCCTGACGGCCATGGCAATATGGAGCTCCCCGGAGAAGATGCTCCCCCTGTCGGAGATCTACCGCTTCATCACCGACCGCTTCCCATACTACCGCCGCAACACACAACGCTGGCAAAACTCCCTACGACATAACCTCTCCTTCAACGACTGCTTCATCAAAATCCCTCGCCGCCCCGACCGCCCTGGCAAAGGCGCCTTCTGGGCACTACACCCATCCGCTCTGGACATGTTTGAAAACGGGAGTTTTCTACGCCGTCGCAAACGCTTTAAACTCCCGAAAAACTTCCAAGAAGAAATGGACAGCCTCAGCAAGTTACAAAACATGAGTTCCTTCGGCAGCCCCATCGCCGCCCCATCATCATCAGGCATCCCACGTGTCCCCATCGTACCACCCATATCACTTCCACCTCCTGTAACCCAATCAACCACGATATCAACACCGATGAAGTCATTCAGCATCGACAGCATCATACAATCCGATACGAAACCTACGATAAACAATAATCCATCCCCGGGTAATGGAGGCGGAGGTGGTTTTCCACCTGCTATGGGTTGTAACTTCCCATGGGCTATGCTACCCACATCAGGAGTAGCTAGAATGGAGGATATAAAACGTGATGAGTTCCTTGCCGCGCAGCAGGCTGCATTATTTGAATACGCCGCGGCGTTGATGCAGATGAATAGTGTTGGCGGCGTGCCGAATCTGGCGGCGGCGGCAGCGGCCGCTGGTGGATTAGGAGTGGGCGTGATCAAACCGCACCCGGTGGTGCCGAGCGTGCTCTTCCCGGGCGCGTACCATCCCGTGCCAATTCCCGTGCAATATTCGCTGCCGCTCGCTGACTTTGAGACTGATCGCGGGGGTGGTGGCGGTGGAGGCGGTGGGAGTAGTGAGGGGAAGCGTACGCTGCCGCCGATTAGTGTATTGGCGCCGCAGCAGAGAGTGCGCGATGAACCTTTGGATACGTCGTCTTGTTCCTCCGGGGATGCGCTCAATGTGTGAATGACTGTGAATGACTATGACTATTGCAGTGAAACAACCAGTGGTAGTGCGTTCATTATTCTGCTGTACATGTATTATCAACCTGTGTTAAATGTACTTTAAGTACCTTAATTATATAGTAATAAAGATTGTTTTAAACTTGATTTATTTTATGAAATCCTTTATAACTCAGAGAATATTTGAGGAATTTTAATTTTTTGTTGGTAATTATTGCTAGAAATGTCCTTTTTCAGTTTTGTATAATAATTTGTTAAGAAACTGTGAAAATCTACGTGAAAAATGCGTTTAAAGTTAAATTTTTTTTGAAAAATTGAATTTTTTTTTGAAAATTTTGCAAAAACAAAATTTTTTTACTAGTTTTCTTTAATTTAAACAAAAACTGATTTATGCAAGTTAAAGAAAATTTAATTGGCTATCTAATTTGATTAAAATGATTAAGATTCAGTTATTTATTCGTAAAATACTGAGGGTTTTCTAAAATAATAACGGAATATTTTTAACATTTGAAAATTTAAATTTTTTGCAAAAACGTTATAACTTAAGAACAAATGAATAAATTTAACTGATTTTTTCAACATCCATAGAAAAACTTACTAGTTATCACATAAAGTTTTTGAAATTAAACTAGACTAATTAGTTTCGTATATACTGAGCGTTTTATAAAAAGAAAATATTTTTTTTGTAAAAATGCAGAATTTAACAATTTTAACAGCAATTAAAACATAGTTATAATAATATTTTCATAATTTCAAGACATTGACATTATAGTACATGTCTTTGACTATTAAATGACGTTTACAGAATTAAAATTGAGTAAGTCATTATGAATCTACAGAGTGTTAAACAACACACCACTAATTTCACAAAAATTTAGAATTTTTTGTCTTTATCAGTAATTTTAATTTATCTACACTAAAATTTTTAATATTATTAATAATGTATCTTATAGTAGATAAATTTAACTACCAAACACAATTTACAGAAATAAAATCGCGTAAACCACTCCGGAGATACAAAGAATTTAATATTTTTTCAACTTTCGAATAAATAAAATTACAAACATTAATAGCCTTACATTGAAGTAATACACTATGCACAGCAGTTTAATTAGCCATTTCATTAAATTCCCAGCATCAGGAACTGCGCGCTTTGCATTGTGCTCGCCTGTCGCCGCCAATTTCACCATAGACATTGCCGAACTAATGATAAACTAATGACAATGAAGACGGGCGCATCAGGTATCTATACCTCGGTCTATTCCGAGCACTTTGTTGTATCCACACCACCTTACGCCTTACTCTGCACGTCCATCAATCGCCGCGGCGCGATTTGTGCGAAATTGCATTTCCCGGTGTCGGGCCCGCTGCGCGCCGAATGGGACCCCAACAAAAGGCCGCGGTTAAACGCTCATTCACAGCGCTAATTCATTTCGGTAGAAATTTAATCGCGAACGCTCTGAGCACGCATACTGGCACGCCGCCGCCGCCGCAGCGAGAAGAGACTTAAATCGGGATGTTCTTAGAAAACACGGGGAAGATTTATCGCCGGCTTGCTTTAATGACCTTCGTCTGTGATGTGTGTTGTGTGATGTGAAGTTTGTAGAAGTGGTGCATTCTCTGCGGTTTCGAAATGCTACAATAAATAAGTCGACTTGAGAGCATGCTCGCTAGTTTGGCGATGTGTTATGCGTCGTTTCCGACTAGGAGATTAACCGCAATGACATTTCGTCGACTATAAAGTTGTTTGTGCCGTTTATGATGTTACCGAAAACAGGGGGACGCTTTGGAATGACTTGAAACATTGTTAGCGAGTGAATATAGATGTAGAATGGTTACATTTTAGAAAAGTTTAAATTACTCCAAAACGGTTGGGAGAAATTTCATTTTGTTTTCACTAAATTATAGCCAATAATATTCTCTATAAGATTTATCAAGATTTCGAATGGAAAAATTTTTAAATTTGCATGAAAAATGACTTTGAATTTGATTTTGAAAAATTTTTTTTAAACAAATTTTCAAAGGTAATTTTGAGCTATTTTCTTTAAAATTTATAAAATGTAATAAAATGGATTTGATAGAGAATTTAATTATCTTTCTAATTCTGTTTGAAAAAATAATTTTTGTTTAATAGTTTCTGAAATACAAGCATTTTTCCAAAACAACTTTTTTGAAATTTTGTGAATTAGCATAAAATGAAATTTTTATAACTAAATTTAACCTATTTTATACTAATTTTTCAAAAATTACTCTTACTCTATCTTATAGTGTATCTTTCTGACTTTTAAATACAACTTACAAAATTAAAATTCCTCCAATAGTTCCCAAAATACAAGACTTTTTCCCCGCGCATATTTTGCAGAGTAATAAATTCTCCTCGCTGACTCCAACAAAAAACAGCAAATATTAAATATTAACATATTGTTTACAAGTTGTTTAGTCGTTCAGTAAATATTTTTTCCTCACCACGCGTAAAAAAGCCCTGCTTTACATTCTGCCTCCTTCGTCAATCGGCTTTGCGGCTTTAGCACTGATCCGACCTTCCGAGAAAGCTCTTTTAACGAGCATCGCGTCGATCAACGCCGCGTCGATGTTTTCACGCTTTTTTCAAGTGTACAAGCACAATTTGAGCCGGCGGTTAGCGGCTCCGCGCACCGAAAGCACCACGGTGAGGTTATGTCCCCGATTACAGATTGTACTAGGCATTACACCGCACGCCGCGGCGTATTGAAATTAATCAGCAAAAAGCGGCCGGGCGTGAGTGAATAGAGTACGAAAAGCCATTTAAAAAGCTATTTCACCGTGTGTTTTCACACATTTTAACGCACAATGCGACGACCACCCGTCCGACGGGCCCCGAATTAAATAACTTTCATACAACCGGCGATGGATTACTGAATGTGAAAGAAAATGCGCTCACGGTGAGGTTAGCTACAAACGTGGGGATTGTGTCATTGATTTTTAATGTAGGCAACCAGATAAACACATAAACCAGTGTAGAAATCAAGTTATACTCATACAAACCCTTAAAAACATCAAAAATGTAAATTTCAAACGTAGGCAACCAAATAAACAAAAAACTGTAGTAAAATTCAAGTTAACCTCGCAAAAAAAACAAAAAATCAAAAATATAAATTTAAGTTGAATATTAACACAACTTACATCTCAAAATATTGATTTTAGACGTAGGCAACCAAACAAACAAACAATCTTTACTAAAACTCAACTTACACTCACCCAAAACCCCAAAACATCGAAAAACATAAATTCCCGTTTGATATAAGCACAATTCACATGTCATAATATTGATTTCCATTGTAGGCAACCAAGAGAACAAATAAAACAATATGGAACACGAAGCCTGAATAGACTGCAAACGTATTTGTTTAAAAGTGGTTTACAAGCTGAATTAAACACACGCTATCGTGACACATGATCCCGCCATTAATATAGGAAGTTACGGACGTTTACAATTAAGTCGAACATGTTGCCGGCGCATTATATCACACAAATGGGAAATTGATTTGTTTTAAAAATTTGCCGCTCAACTGTGTCTCGGACAGGCGAGCCGAGCGCTGGCATGTTTTTCGTGTTACACAAAGTTTCGAAAAGTTTACGTGATTAATACAAATATCCTCGACAGTCGACACGCAAAGCTTCATTCTCATCACAATACACATACACACATACAAACACATAAACATAAAGAGTGTAACTGTATTGAGGTTATGAATATTTTTGCATAAATTCACGCGCGGTATTAATGAAAACGCACAAAGGAAACGTGCATCTCTTTATGATAAATAATCTGATAACAAGCAACCAACAGAAAGATATGAAGGGAATAAATTAATGACATAACCTCAAATATAAACACACAAAGTGTGTTTTTGTAAATTTATGGTTTTTAAGGTTATTTTTAGTTGGTTTTGTGTAAAATGTCAAAAATCAAAAAAAATGCCAATTTTTGCAAAAATTTCATCAAATATTTGTTAAAAACGCAATAACAACTGAAACATAACCTATTTTGACTAAAATATTGTATTTTTGATGTAATTAAACAAAAAATTGAATAAAACATTATTTGAAGGTTATTTTTCATAAAAACAAAAAATATTTTTGTAAAAATTTGTTTTTTGAAGTTATTTTCAGGTAAATTTTGTGTAAAATGTCAAAAAATCATAAAAAAAATCAAAAATTTTATAAAATTTACTGACAAATCAGTAAAAAACAGAATTTAATCGTAAAATTGCAATATTTTTACTTAAATTTACTAAAACAATAAAAATATAACCTTAAACCAACAAAAAACCTAACCTAATTAGTATAAATCACCATAATTTTTATTCTAACCTACAAAAAATCACCTCGAATGAAAGATGATTTGATGGTTAATACTTCATTATGCTCATAAGTGATAAATTAATGAGAGGGACGAAATGAACGCAATCAGTGCGCTGCGCGCCGACATAACCTCAACCATAAACACACCGCGTACGCGCATCATTCCAATTGCCAACGAGAGAGCCCCGACTTGTTTTGTTTTTCATTAACGCTTTCGGTTTCTCTTCTCTCTTTTATCTTTTCTCTTGGTTTAGGTACCTACTAAGGCTGGAGAGAAGCTGTGGTGGCTAGTTTATACGAAATAGTAATTTACGAGGCGCATTGTTTCGAATTTAATCTGCTGCGGCGCGCAGACCGGCCCTGTAATTGGGGTTGATGAGGCCGAGGCAGCGACGAAGGTGTGAGATGCACCGCTAACACCTGTGCAGCGCCCGCGGGCATCTTTCGGATGCGTGTTGGCATCTCCTCCATCTCCATCGCCTCGCATCTTTCATCTCCAACACACACACACAACCACACATACACATAACCTCAACCTGTAGCTATCTAGCAATCTCCACTGAATTCAATTCAAGGTCGTCTAAGGTCATCGAATGTCAAAATCCCTACTAATATTATAAATGCGAAAGTCCTGATGTTTGTTACACTTTCACGCAAAAACTACTTAACCGATCATCATGAAAATTTGTACACATATTCTTAGTGGTCCCCGAATGGTTATAGGCTACTTTTTATTTAATAAAAAAATTATTTTTAAATAAAATAAAGAAATTGTTTAGCCAATAATACCTCTGCATCTGGCT